TCGCTTCTGAGACAAGTGCTCTAACTACTGAGCTACAGGACTCTACTTAATGATGGCTGCACTGCATGTAAATAATGAGTTTTAAACTCTTGAAATATACAGCCTCTGAAATATTCCAACTCAGTCCCAAGATGCATACACACTTTTGTATCTAGACTAAAAGTGTTTGTTATGGCACTGTACTATAAAACAAGCTTTGGAATCTCATTCCTGTGGTTACTCTAGCATGGACAGGTATTTGTGTGGCTCAGACAGATGCTCAGCCAGCAGCTGTCTAAAGCCTACAAACATGTTGATGTGAGAAGATGTTTTAGTGGCAAATTGAACCTCATCAGATCGTATGTTAACCCTTTGTGCATTGAACGTTTGAACTGATCACCCTTGCACTACACAGGATAATCACATAATAAATTAACTGATAGAATAAACCACAATACATCAGAAAAAGTCTATAAAATTAACTTTTTTTCCTTAAAAATCAAACAAAGCTTGCACAGTAATTTTTTTCTGGTTATGGAGGTAGACAGTCCAGTCCCTTTGTTTGTTTGTCTTTCTCATTAGCAGAATTTAATTAAAGTTGGGCCATTCTCGACAACTTTCCTCCCTCTGTAAAGCCTGTCTGAATCAGAATACTTGTTGAGGAAGGACTGTTCTATCCATGCTGGGTGGTTACTTCTCTGCCTGGGGAGGAAGCAAGCAAGTTCTGTTTGGGGCTGAGCAGGTTGAAAAGTAACATGCCTGGTTACTGGACTAATGAAATTGAGTCAATCCTTTGTGGTGGTTTCAGCAGTCTGGTACCTGAACCAGGTAATGTTGATGACAGACCACGCAGGAGGACTTGGGAGCAGCAGACCAGTCAATGGGGCTGAAATTCTTCCTTGTTGGTAACCCATCAAGCAAAAGCCTAACAGGTAGGGTGATCCTAGCTGGACTAACAGTAGGAAGCTTGCCAGTGTTCCCAATGGCAAGCTGTGAGGATTTAGCTGGTTGAACTCCCAACAGTATCCAAGTAAATACACAGTAGTTCCCGAGACTTAGCTGTTGCCAATCTGCACCAAACTCTCCAGGATTAGGTAAGCATGTTTCGTCTCTTCAATGTGAGAGTGTGCATTCTATTGCAGACAAAAGGAAATTTCCATACATTTATAGAGCTCTCAGTTCAGTTTGATACTCTTGAGCATGATAATGGGTTTTTGCAGATGTCAGACATCCAACTGATCAAAAAAAACTTGCATTGGTATACCAGGTAACACTGAACCCAACAGTAATCTCATACATCCATAACGTGTCACTGCATGTAAGCTGGTGTGGTATACAACTCCCAAAGTACTCTTGCATCCACTGTTATGTTCCCCACTTAAGGACTTCTGCCCCATATCACCTCCTCAGTTCAACCACCAATTTCCTCATGATTTTTGTTCCGACAAATACCTAGACTGTTAATTTATCATCTTCCCAACTGAGATTTTCCACAACAGGAATACCAGCAACATGTGTCAAAGGGTCAAATCTCATGGGGAAACTGGGACGGCTTTGGACCATAAAGCAAGTTTGCTAGGATTTGTTGCCATCGCCTTAATTACATTTACGAGGCATTCAGCGTTTCCAATTGTGGTGTAAAACAGAATTTGGAAGAGACAGCGCAAACTGTTAAGTAGATTTATCAGCTGTATATTTAGACTGGAACATGAGTCGTGTCTTCTGAAACATTTGCAAAAAACATTCAATACCCATTTCAATGTTTGTTTTACTCAAATAAAAATGTGTTCTCTTCAAAGGGAACAAAGTTTGGAAAATTATATTGCAAATGCTGTACCATGCATAGTCAACCAATCTAATTGTAAGGTCACTGTAAGAAAACACTATAGCAAAAGGGTAAAATGGACTAGATCTACCCTTAAAAGGTGGCTTTCATAGTGTTACATGTTAATTCGGGCACGTTATTTTAATTATAAGAAGTAAATTGATCATTTGTATAGTTTCTTAAATTATAGAAATAACAAGATTTATTTTCATATTCTAATTCTGATTTTTTTTGCCAAGTCAGTGGCTCTGTGAGAATTTACTATTTTAAATTGTTCAAATGTTTAATCTCTTAAATGGGATTCAGTCTTGTTGCTTCTGCATTTGGCTATTAGAATAAATGATTGTTTAAACATTGATAGTATCATAATAGTAAAGTACCACTGAAGAACACCAGTCTCAAATTATTTGAACTTGAAAGTTCTGGCCTTACCCGCATTCAGCAGCACAATTTCAAAAAGGCTTGTCCATTAAGCGACACACCTCAGGGTTCTACTTGGAACACTTTAATACATTTATTGACATATCTGAAGACTTTGGGATTTTGCACTATGCACTTCTAAATGAGTTCCCATCTTAGGTCTTCAACCAGAACTATGTTCATGGCTATTTAACTTCCCCTCAAAGCCCCATTGCGGATTTGATTGTTCATCCACTCATTTTCCATTACCTGAGGGCTGATCTTTCTGACACTTTTCTCTCTTCATGTTAAGATTACATTTATTATCTTACTGATAAATTCATATTTTTATTTCCTCAGATCACACAGCTTTAATGCACACAAACCATTCCTTGCATAATGCAATCCTGAACTAATTAACTAATTAATTAAATGTTAATCTCAGCAGTGCTCTTTGATGTGGCTGCTTTCAACTCTTCAATGATACAATCTCTTCACTAGCCACTATATTTTAATTGATCTCATTAACCCCTGCCCTTTTCAACTTTGATTGTGTCCTATACTATACTCTTCACCAAGATTTCTTCTACATATCACTAAAATACTGTAAATGAGAACTTCATCATAACATTCCACTCTCAAAAGTACAGATTAGTAAACAACATCAAGTCATTAAACCCTCCATTAACAGGGGAACCTACATCAAATAGTCACAGCATTTATCCAATCTAACTTACATAATAGTATAATAATAATCTTTACATTTGATATAGCACCTTATCACATCATTGAGACGTTGCCAAGCGCTTCACAGAATATTGTAAAGTGAATTGACTGTACCTTTTGTGGGCGAAACGCAGCAGCCAATTGCGCACAGCAGTGAACCACAAATGTGATAACCTAATGCACATTAGGTTACCAGCAACCGGGCAAACATTGAAAAGGACAAAACCTTTGGATTAGTTACATATCAGCCAGATCCAAATCCTGTGATTATCTGGCTTTCAGATGGATTTTTTTAAATTTCAAATTAAAATCAGAACAAACAAAACCATTTGCAGAGGCCAATTAACAATAAATCCACAACAAATATCACAAATTAACAGGGAATCAAAAGCCTTGCTCAATTTGCATGATCAGCTACATGGTATTGGGGAGAACAAAACATTGATCCCAATCCAAAAACAAACATTTGGAATACAGCCCAGCTCACCCAGATGCACAGTGTTCAAAGACAGAAACTGATTTACTGAAAGTTTCTACAGAAAAAATATTGGATAGATTGTCACATCCTCCTGATGTGAAAGGCGCTATATAATTGTATTGTAACTTGCTGACAAATTAGTTCTTCATTTTCAATAGACATGCAAACTGACCCAATCAAATACTGTAAGATCGAAGTCAAGCTCAAACCACAACCAAATTTATACGTATAACAAAGTTTCCTAGTTTACATCAACAAAACATTTAACAAAGTTTAAGTTCAAAAGGCACCACAAATGTTGAATTGTTGGTTGCATGTAGGTAGTTAACTCGATGTTTCTAAGAACAACTATCTGACAGAATACTATTACAAAGTTTGTGTTAGGTTACACGTTGTCATATTGAACATCAAAATACAAAATTGCATTTGGAATCAACAATAGATCTATTTTGAAACAATCCACTTCAGTCTACCAGGCCAGTCAAATAGCACTTGTAAACTTGAAAAAATTAGTCTATACCTTACCTGCCCTAAAGAGTATTCCCTCAATATAATTTGAAAGTCAGTGATTTCCGAATTGTTGCAAGTTATGGAAAACTACAATCAGATGCGTTTCCACAGAAATTACGCTGCATCTCCTCCCAGTCCAGACACTAATAATAGTGGAATATGTTTCAACATGTCATTCATTTTTATGTCCTTTTATCTAAATCTGCAGAGTATTACAGGTAAGTCTGATTCCATCCTTACCCATCGCACAAAATCTGATGAATTTAAGATGGAATCAGGAAGACTAACTGGCAAATGTTTTCTTTCTCATTCCATAAGTGCTGAAACCATTTAAGTATCCTTGTTATTACTGGCCAGGCTGACATCAGATAACTGAGAATGTTAATAAGAGCAAAGAGCAAGTTCGACTCAGTAACAGGTGGGTGTCCTTATGCCCTCAGCCAATGACCCATTCATCATAACTGATTTCTAAAGACCACAGTGCACTGCAGATTACTCCAAATTTTCCTCAATGCCAGCATTGGAAAATCATTTACTGCATCTAATGATGGATTTACTGTTTGCATTATAATTAGTGGCAATTTTGGGCTCAACTATTCAAGCATGTTATTCAATTTTCTGCTTTCATTTGTAGCACAACAGTATTTCAAACTTTTAACCAGCAAATTACCTTCCCCCAAAAAAACTGTTGACTGATTTTTCTACTTAGGACCATCCTACATGTTAGGTTCAATGGGTTGAGAACATTAAGTTCTCATTATCTAAAGGGAAATAGAAAAATATTTTGCAGAGCAGAGATATTCAGCACATTGCATTAGTTTAACTTGGTACCAATTACAACCTAGTCTAACTGGTTCATTTATTCTGAATTTCATTGCTTCATGAGTAATAAGAGTGGTATAAATATAAATAAGGCTAGCACAGTTGGTCAGGACACAAGTGTTATATTCCAAACCTATTGAGGCAGGTTGTGTCTATGCAGAATATCGATTCTAGATAGTTCAAATGTTTACATCTTAAATTTCCTGATTATGAACTTTATTTTCAACACAATTAAACATTCACTTTATAGAAAAAATAACATTTAGTGTACTTTCTCATTTTATTCCAATTTGGCATAAAAGCCAATAAATTACATAAATCATACAGGATCTATCATCATCAATACAGCCAAGAGTAGCAATTCTTTGCTTGAAGTATTGCGCGAGATTAATAATTCACACTAAATTAGGTTGAAATACCCATCATCCTAAACTTTTCAAATATTGTGTAGTTATTAACTTTGCAACACTGTCTTTTGTTGAATTTCTGAGAGATGCAACATAGCTTTTAAATAAAGTAAAGGCACACTAATTCCTCTACTAGTGATAGACTGGTATAAATATGAATAAAGGCTGGCACAGACAGTCAGCACATAAGTCAGCATGTAATTCCAAATCTATTGAGGTGCTTTGTGCCCACGGTTCCAAACCAAAGGCACCACTGCCCAATATTGATGATATAGGCTTCAATAGGAGAAATGTGCTGCACTTTGTGCTGGTTTAACCCGATCTTACATTATAGATATGCTAGGTTATCTAACCAATATCAGAACTAGGGAAACACATATGGGTTATAATAGTTTGCTGCATTGATAATTTGTACCAGTCTAAAACTAGCCTATATGAATGCAGTCTAGAAATGTCTAGATGATGACATTTATTCTGGGTCTGAAATCTATCCACCTTCCAAGAGTTCACAAGTCATTCTCCAGCAAGAAACTTATGTAAAACAGTTTACCATAGGGAGGCTTGACAGAAACAGTCATAATAACCTCCTACAAAATGCATCCAATCTTCCATTAAAGCAACAAAAAACATTATGATTGGATACTTCTTAGAACTTAAATTACATCAGCACAACTGAGAACTGCTTTTCAATTCAGACATCTCCTGTCTGCTCAATGTACCAAGGGGAATGATTCCAACTTTTTGTTTACCTATTGAACTGAATAAACTAACTTTGGCTTGTTAAAAATTGAATCCATTAAAAAGTAAGTATTCCTGGTAAGAAAAATGAAATGGGTAAAACATAACAAATATTTCAAATTCTCCTTTCAAAATAAACATTCCCAGTTATCGTAATGTGCTTGTAGATTATGCATTTTGCAATAAAAGTAGCATTGATCCTTTTTCCACAACACGATCACTATTTATCTATTCTGCTTGTGGCGCAACTGCATTACAATTAGTTGAGGTCATCCTCATCATCATCTTCTTCATCGTCATCTTGGTCAACGGAATCCAAGTCATCTTCGTCTTCAACCTGTATAAAGGAAAGATATTCTTTTGTCACTGTATTTAAAATGCATGAGGCTGACGTAACTTGCACTTATTTATAGCTGTACATGCAATGGGAAGATCACCAGTGCCATGTACGAGTAATGGTACAATTTCACAACTTTTAGGTACAGACACAATGTTTTACCTGGTTGAAGTGTGCATTTAGGAGTCTCTAATGTCTAGCTTCAGACAAACTGCAATTTTGTTCTCCAGCTACAGACAATCAAGATATTTCTTTCTGCTCTCCACCCAACTGAGCGATTGCAAATTACAGATCTAACAATTTAAAATTATGTGAGTTCTCAGCAAATTCAGCAGAGAGGCTTTAGCACTAAAAATTTCTGTACACATTAGACAGCCAGCAATATAATCGAACACTGTCAGTAGCAAAGTTGGTAACAGCTTTGTAACATATTGTTCTAAATACAAGGTGAGATCTTCTTCCTCTAAATTCAGTTCAAAACTGCTACCATTCTCATACTCAGACTAACAAAACCGAGCTGCAAGATAGCAACAAGATCTCATTGTATATATACTTAAAAGTTGTGAAATTACACACGGGGTGAGTTACTCCCCACACTGTACAGGTCAATCATGGCTCAGCAATTTCTCAACCCTCAATCATGTTCGGAACTGGATTTTTTTTTTTTAGACAAGTACCTCAAAAGTAGGGATTAATGAAAGGGGACCAGAATTAGAGAGAAAAAACGAAGAGTGAGAAAAATACAAAGTCATCATACTTTATAGAAAATTCTTTGAGACGTTCTCCCAATGGGAAATGTGCTACACCAAACGTGAGGATTATTATTAGTTCAGTCACTACATATTTCAGCTATTCATTGAAGAGTGAATAGCACCCCACTAATTAACGTACATCACTGAAATCATAAATAACAAACTAATGTATTTTGAAAGAAGCTCACATTAAGTGTGTCTCATAAGATAGCATATAGTTTATGAGATGATATGGAATCAGCCTGAACTTGAATTATGTTCATGTTTCAGTCAATTAACCCAACATATAGCCTGTACTGGGCTCATTAGTGTGAATGTGGTGCAGTCTGACAAAAAATTTGGGTGGAGTCCTGTAGCTCAGTGGTTAGAGCACTTGCCTCGCAAGCGAGAGACCTGGGTTTGATTCCCAGCAGGGCGAAACCTTGGGCAAGCTTCCTTACGCCACACACCTGATAATAATCCCTCAAGAAAAAAACCCAATAATAAATTGGTCACTTCAGTCCATGACTGTTTGTGGGACACTGCTGTGCGCAATTGGCTGCTGCCTTTCACTCACAAATACACAGTCAATTCATTTTACAATATATTCTGTGAAGCGCTTTGAGGAGTCCAGAAGACAAATGCAAGTATTATTATTATTATTAAATTTAGCTTTCATTATAAGACAGATCAATCTGCATCCAAACAGTCAAGTATAAGTATAAGAATTCATAGACAATGTCTGACCAACTGGCTGGAAATGTTAACCTCTTCTTTTCAGATGCGGATGGACCTGCTATAGATATGCAGATTTTCCTCTTTTTGGCTGGTATCATACCTGTTCTCCAAGTTCTTTGAGTTTGTTTTTCAGTCCAAAGATTTTCTGGTCTTGGTCAGCCAGAAGCACAAGCAGATCATCCTGCTCTTTCTTTGAGTCTATGACATCTTGCTGCAGCTTGCTGTTTTCAGTTTGAAGGATGGCAACTGTACTGTTTGTTGACGCAAGCTGTTGATCCAGGGCACTCTTCTCTTCAGTCATGGCCTTCGTTTGGTCCTGTATTTACATACAAGAAACAACATACAATATTATAGCACCTTATTTACTTCAAAATGTCTCAAAATGCCTCACAGTAATTCCTCTCAAATTCTATCTGCATCAGCAAGATCCCCAAATAACATGAAGTGAATGACCAGTTGATTTGAGGGAATGTTGAAAAGGGCACAGGAAGAAACTCCCTTCTCAAAATAATATAATGAACTCACAGATCATTGTTTAACTTCTCATCCAAAATATGCAAGCTCCAACAATGCAGCATCTAACCCTATCCTAACCTAGACTGTCAATCTAGACAAGTCTTGAAGTGAGGCTTGTACCCAGAACAAAAAGTCTGCATTTGCAACAGCCTCATTAAACTCATAGCAAAGAAATGGGTGAAAACTCGATTGGAATGATGTCTTTCAACAACAAATTAAAGATTTGCTTATTAATACTAATTATTGCAGTCGAATATCATGCCCAAATATATTTATTATAACTCCACCGTATTTGCCCAAACTGATACAGACTGCTAACATTTTAGAAAGCATTTGATCACGCAAACAACTTCAGACAAGGGAATTAATTGATAAACTGATGTGTAATATACCATTAAAACAGAAGGCAGATCGTGCAGCATGTATTGAGACAACAAGACTCAGTTTACTGAAAAATGAACCACAGAGCTACGTGGGTGTGTAACCCAAGCTTGAGTAATGGCTGTCCAATTAACTGGGGTTTAATTTCCACAAACAGTCCATTCTGGACCATGTTCATACCACATATTGACAAATGTCAGTTGAGCAGCATTTGTGAAAATAACATTATACCTCTGTAGATTACTACAGGCAAAGGCTGCAATCGTCCATCCGCCCTGGTGCCCGGACTGCCTATATCCTGCCCTGTTTAGCAAATCAGAGCTCACACTGAGCAATCACACAGTAAGGGTGCAATATACTGTATATACACAGTACAATTGGGATTGTTCTCCTTGGAACAGAGAAGGTTAACGGGAGATTTAATAGAGATGTTCAAAACAGAGAGAAACTGTTTCCACTGGTGGGTGGGTCAGTAACCAGAGGCCATAGATTAAGATAGTTGTCAAAAGAACCAGAGGGGAGGTGAGAAGAAATGTTTTCACACAGTGAGTTGTTTGAATCTGGAATGCACTGCCTAAAACGGTGGGGGAAGCAAATTCGATAACAACTTTCAAGAGGGAAGTGGATAGATATTTGGGGAGGACAAATTTGCAAAGCTATGGGGAGAAAGCAGGAAGTGGGATTCATTTGGATAGTTCTTTCAAGAGTCAGCACGGGCGTGATGGGCCGAATGGTCTTCTTCTGCGCGCTACAATTCTATGAATTAATGCAGGCATAAAGCTGCAGAGATCACTTGATGAAATGGCGAATTTTAAAACCTTTAACTTTCGATTTTCATCCATCAATGCTGATAGTCTGCTTTCCAGCTGTGCGATGTTGCTATCACCGTCTCCTTGTGCAGCCTCCGGCTTCAAAGTGAAAAGAAATGATTCAGGGAAGTCAGCCCACTGATTTGGTTACATTAAACTTAATATAAGAATTTTAATCTTAAAATTGTTCTTTCCTTGATCAGTCTAATATTTAGAAATGTAGATCATCGCAAATTAACAAGTTGCATTTATAAAGCATCTTATTGAAGAACATATAAAACCACTTGGTAAATATAGTTCCTTCTTTGCCAAGCAAGGAACAGGGTGATTAAAAGCTAGAGACCAAAGTCACAGACAAAGATAGGTTTTCAGAAATTTAGACAAAGATCAGAGATCAAGCATGGGAGGGGCAGCAGAGATGGGACGTAGGGCTGGAAAAAGGGTATGGTGAGGAGCGATCTCAAACCAGGGAAATCAACAGCGTCAAGACCTTCTTTTTCTCACAAAATAGTAGTCATATGGCTTTTCACAAAAGATGTCTGAAAAATAGTGGGGCTATGTAGACTAGCAACTGAAAGAACAAGTCTGAGTATATTGTTTAACTGATTTGACTTTCAGCTGAATCACGTCATAGTCAACCCAGATTATGTTTCTGAGTAACCTCACATCTACTGTTGTGCTGTTTTCTACACTTTCAAAAATATAGAATCTTAAGCTCTTACCAATTCAAATATATTGTAAAAGACCGAGAGTGGCTTGTATAAGCAGACAGCTATCCAATACTGTGTACGTGTCTCAGCAGGTAAAAAGCAAGAATGTGACAGCATCGCTACCAAGATGCTTTTAGTCATTTCTAAAACAAAACTAAATGACCACTGTCATTCCTAAAATGGAAAATTTGGTTTCTTCTTTGGTGCATCGAAGTTCATTAAAGAAAACAAAGCAATTACTGGACATTGCATCTGTAAAGGGTTAGACTACCACAGTAATTTCTTGTAGGACTCTTACAATATTTTCAAACACTGCAAATAAACTGAATCAAGCGAATATTTCTAAACATTAATCCACATTATAGAAACTATCATTGTGCTGTTCAATGCCTTGTTTCAGTGGAGTTTATGGAATACATTGTAATAGAAGGTGATGGAACAAAAATGTGGCAATCACAAATTGGAACTCATTGTATTAATAATGGCTTCTGTTAGGTATAAAATTGGGAAATTCACTGTACAATACATCTTTTTTAAAAAAAGGATAAAATCTTGAAAGCTGGCAATGGCAATTTTGTCTGGCTTTTCAGGTCTTTTCTTGGTTGAAAAACACAGAAAATTAAAATGTCAACTACAAACACAATCCAGTCATATTTTCCACCTTCATGTCTCTTTAACAAAAGTCAATGCAACGATCTCTTACCAAGTTCTTTAGTTTCTGTGATAACGCCTGCTTCTCAGCCTGAAGCTGGCTAATCTCTGCAGCCTGTGTCTGTACTTGGGTTCTTAATTTGTCTAGTAGCTTCAATGAGAGAAGAAATTGCAAACAATGTTACTAGTGTGACAGACAGTATTTTTTCTAGACTAGTACAATTCACAAAGATCTTCAGACTTTGAAGGGGACATGTATCGTAATTTGTGGCTTCCAAGAAACCGCTAAATAAATTTAACCTAAAACAACCTTGAAAACTGGCTTTGCTGATCATTTGTGATAGTTGTATATTTCAGAGCACATCTAAGCAAACCACGTCTTTCACACCAATCACTTTATGCAGACAACTACTGATAAATATTATACTGGCAAACTGACATCGTAATCACACAAGTGCTTGTTCCAAAGATTCAAAAATATTAATCCCAGCTATATCGGGAAACATTGCAATAGTTTCCTTAAGTAACTTCCAATTTTACAAAGTTCTACCCTCCACAAGCTCCAGATCATCCAGAGGTTTTCACCCACATTCTAATAATAATCCTTGCATTTGAGAATGGTGTTTTCTCCCAGTGTCCTGGCCAATAACCCACCAAATAAAATTGGTCATGGCTGTTTCTGAGACATTGTGATGTACAAATTGGCTGCCGTGTTTGCCCACAAACACACAAGTTACTTCACAGTATAATCTGTGAAGCACTTTGGGACATTGTCCTGATATGAACAACGCTACACCAAAAGTAGTGATTATTATTTTATTATTTGAATATTATATACCATATTATATACATAATATATGCCTGTTCAGGTGGATGTTTAAAGATTATACTATTTGAAAACAGAATGGAGTTTATCCCAGTGTCAACAACCCCCAAATAAAATTGGTATAACATATATTATACTGACATTCAGCAGAGATCGCCATTGATCTTGCCCGATAGGGCTGAGGATTCTATTACTGATCACACGGTAAACCTATTTCAAATGTTTTCAAATTACTACAGTATGAAATTCGGCAGGAAATTGAAAGCCCCCATAATGTACTTTCACTATCCTGTTCAAAACCACAAAATGCAAATTTGTACATAAACATAAAACAAGCACTACCTTGTGCAGTTCTGATCTCTCTTCATCCTGGGATCCACTGTGATCGGTACCACCTTCTCCATCCCTGCTGCTCATTGTCTGATTTGTCTTCTGTATAAAACAGACCCCATGTTCAGATATACTGCTCAGCGTGAAAGCAACAGCAGCAATCACACATTTAGATTCAATGGTTCACAAAAGAGACTGTAGGTAGAACCAGAAAGGTCCCAAAGTAAAAAGAATACTGCCGTACTGTCTCTCATATCCTGAAGTTATGAGCAAATAACTTTCAGCAAATACATATCTAGTTTCCTCCTTTTTGAATGTGCTGATACAATATAATGGAGCCTCCATTTTGGAAGTTGAAGACTGAAAAAGTGAGAATTGGATTCAGGAACGGTGATGAAATAGTATCAAGTCCAGCCCAGGTAAACAAGTTGCAGGTCTTATATCCTTGAGTTACAGAGGTCCTATGTCAAATGCATTAACTAATACCTTTGTGGGTATGAACCCACATGCTCAGCACAAACCACACATAAAATGGCAATGAATTGGCAGAGATCACTAGTGTAGAAAATGGAAAAAATTCACGCTGACATGCCCCTGTGCAGGTGGGATTATTGCAACACAGCAAAAGTTTGCTGCATCTGACCAGGCTATAGTGGAACTAGGAATGCTTTGCAAAGGTTGGCACAAATAGATCAGTGCTGCATGAATGCATGAACCTGAACACAAACAAAACACCAGAACACACATATTACAAAAAACATTTAGCTGTATCTACAGTCTAACAATTTACATGCACACATTAAAGCTTTGCAGATCATTAAATCTTCACGAGCTCTAAACACTGATGACAATTGCAAACACAGGGGAACCCTTCTATAACGTGGATGTTTGCTTGGTTCAGCAAATTTCTACCCAGGTTAAAAATCAAAACAGTGCCTTCGGGTATTTGACGTCACCGTTCATGTGTGTAGAAAACCGTCCAGCTTTGATTATATAACAAGCATATATAACACTGCACTGAGCTCCTCCTAATGGCTTAGTGGGTGAATGAGCCATGTGCTGTGTGGACCAAGCCATAAACATTATAAAATTTGATCTCTGCTAAATTAGCTGTCCTCAGTTGGGTGGAAATCTAGGCATTGCAATTTGCCTTAGCACCCAAAGGCAAAGAAAAGAGAATGGGGAGGAGTTAGAAAGGTTTCAGATTCTAATCAATACTCAGCGATGAACTGAGGGAAAAACAACAACAAATTACATTTGTAAAGCGCCTTTCACGTCAGGAGGACATCCTAAGGAGTTTGGACAGTCAGGGATTTGGTCCCGAGCAGGGGGTTGGGATCAAGAGGGGTGGAGGGCAGTGATTGTAGTAGTAGGAGGGTGATCGAAGGCACAGTTGAAGAGGAGAGTTTTAGACGTGCCTTGAAGAAGGCAAGGGAGGGAGCAAGACAATGAGACTATGGGATGGATTTCCATAGGGTGAGGGCAGAGAGGCTGAAGGCCCGTCCGCCAATGGTTGGGCGAGCCAGACAGGGGACATGGAGCAACCAGGAGCCGGCGGAGCAGAGGGAGCGGACAGGTCAATACGGTGTGAGCAGGTCACAGAGTTCTGAATGATTAGGTTACATTCCAAACTAAAACAGCCGCTGATACCCAGTGCCGAGGCTCAAACTTAGTCACTTAGGTGAGGAACCGGGTTGTTGCCGAGCCCTTTTGCTCTGAACCTACTACCTTCAGAATAGAGGAAACATAGAAACCACAAAAATATACATTACTTAATTGGTTTCCAATTTCTGAAGGCTCACAGAATAAATAATTTGCTTTGAATACGAATGGACGATTCACAGATTGCCAATCTCCACTAAAAATAGAATAGTCAGAGTCCTACGCGGATATTGTGAGACCCTGATCTATTCCCATGGGTCGGATTATTTCATGGGCCAACCATAGACTAACCTAGTAAACATAACACAGACAGAAATACATAAATCAATTTTTACCAGTTTTTCAATTAAAGATTCCTTTTCCGCCAGCTGCCCCTGTAGTAAGTCATGCCGCTGTTTCAGTTGTTCAACCTCTTCTCGCAACCTTCCCATTTCTTCCAAGTCAGCTTTCGGCTGGATCCCATTGATTTGTGCTGCCTCACTGTTGTGAATATTATGTTGTTGGCTGTCCTTACCTAAGGTACAGAAAGTTGCACATTTGTTATCCAACCTCTCAGTACAGATGTACTACAAAATTTCATTAAAGTTGAGCCATGTCAATTGTTTCAACTTTGTGTCAGCCTGGCTAAGTTGGTAATACTCATGCCTCCGAGTCAGAAGGTTGTTGAAGCCCCACATCAGGACTTGGAACTCAAAGTCCAGACTGATACTCCATGCAGTTCTAGTGGGTGAGCTGCATTGTCGGAGGTGCCTTCCTTTGGATGAGACGTTGACCCAAGGTCCAGTTTGCTTGTTCACCTAAACCCCACGGCACTATTTGAAGAGAGAAGGAAGTTCCTCACGGTGTCTTGGCAAATTGCCCAAATTAATTGGTCATTCACTTCATGGTTATTTGTAGAAAATTGCTGTGTGCAAACTGGTTGCTGTGCTCCCCTACAAAATACACAGATATCCTGCGAAGCACTTTGAGACGCCCTCCTGCCATGAAGTCACTATATAAATTTTTTGTGATTTTGAAACTTTTCTCAGTATTCAAAAATACCTCATTATTCACTCCATAATAATAATAATAATCCTTGCATTTGATATTGCATTTGGTCTCAAAACCTTTCTCTTTGACCGAGCCTTCAGCTCCCCTCTCGACTCTCTTCCCCCTCCTCGCTCCCTCCCTTCCCTCCCCTCACCCTGACCATTTCCCCCCTCCTCACTCCCTCCCTTCACTGTAAAGTGAACTGACTGTATATTTGTGGGCGAACACGGCAGCCAATTGCGCACAGCAGTGTCCCACAAACAATCATAGATTGAAAATGACCAATTTATTATTGTTTTTGGTTTTGGAGGGATTATTATTAGGTGTGTGGAGTAAGGAAACTTGCCCAAGGTTTCGCCCTGCCTGGAATTGAACTCAGGTCTCTCGCTTGCAAAGCGAGTGCTCTAACCACTGAGCTACAGGACTCCACAGGTAGCTTAAAATCATAAATTGAGAAAACAGATGTTACAAAATGATTAAGGTTGACAACATCAGACGCAATATATGAATCGGTGATGGAAAATGGTTGAACAATATGAAATCTAGCAGCATTTAGTGATTAAGACAAAATACTGCAGCACAAAAAGCTGAAACAAAATATGCCGTATTTACCTGTTCAGATGAAGGAAATATATCCCATTGCACTATTTCAAAAGAAGGAAATTTCTGCCAGTGTCTTTCTTGTAGGACAGATAAAAATAGCTCATTCACTTCATAACCATTTGTGAGATTGTTGTGAACAAATTGGCTGCCCATATTTAGTTACAAATAATAATCCTTGCATTTGACATTGGGTCGTGATTGATACATCACACCGATGAAATGTCTCAAAATGCTTCAAAGGATTTGCTGTTTGTATTGGTGAAATTAGCAAGCAATTTGCTCACAACAATGTCCCTTAAACAACTATGAAGTGACTGATCACTTTTTTTTAACAGTACCATGGGATCTTTAAGATGTGGTGACTTTGTGCTCACAGTCTAGGCTGACACTCCAGTACAGTGCTAGTACACAGTAACTACACTTGATAGAAACTTTGTGAAACCCTTTCAGACATTTGACATTAAGGCACTATATTAAATGCAAGTATTATTATTATGTACAAACATCTACAACAAAAACAATTTGCATTGATATAGCACTCTCCATGCTGGGCGGCGTCTCAGAGCGCTTAACAATGGTGGAGCCTAAGGCCGAGCCAGGGGGAGGGGAAGGTGACTGTAGGCGCGGTCGAAAAGGAAGGTCTTCAGGCGCGACCTGAAGATGGGGAAGGAGGGGGTGAGGCGAAGGGGTTGAGGGAGGGAATTCCAAAGTTTCAGGGCGTAGTGGTTGGAAGCACGACCGCTGATGGTGGAGCAGAGGATTCAGGGGATGCGGAGGAGGCCGGACTGAATAGAGCAGAGGCAGCGGGTACTGCTGTGGGGAGAGAGGAGGTTAGAGAGATAGGGGGATGCCAAGGAATGGAGGGATTTAAACACAAGAGTCAGGATCTTGAAGTCGATCCGCTCTGTGACAGGGAGCCAGTGGAGTTTGGCAAGGACTGGAGTAATCGGGGTACAAATCTAACTAATCTAACTTTAATTGTATGAAAATTCATTAAAATGTACCCTCTCTTCATAAAATCTCTTCATAGGCTTCCTTTCCAATAGGTCAGAGGTAAATTAAAAAAAACTATGGTGAGAAAAAGACTGAAGGTCACTTTGTTTTGGCAACCACAGATGGTGCAGAGAAGGCTCATTAAGTTTCTTTTTGAAACCTCCTAAACGACAGGCACCACTAACCTAATCTACCCAGATACTCAATCAAATCTACCCTGATCCCCAATCACAAGATTGGTTTGGATGAAGAAGGTCCATCTGATCTCATCCCTTCAGAATACTCACCTTACCAACTTCCCATCACAGCATCAAACTGCTTTTTAAATGACTCCAGCGTCCTGGAGTAATCAACCTTCTTGGCAAACTATTCTAGTCATTAATTACCCTCTGTGTAAAGAAAAACTTCCTGGTATCTATCTGAAATTGTCTTTTGCAACTCTAAACTTAAGATTCTTGCTCAACCTTCTTCATACCTCCTAAAGGTTTGTTCTGGGTTTACCTTTTCAATTCCATTTAAAATTGTATACACTTCTCTATAAGGTCCCCCCGTGTCAAGACTGAAGAATCCAATCGTTGCTCATAGCTCTGCTCTCATCTACACAGCTTTGAGGGCCTGGACCGGTGCAGTCTGCCTTTGTTCTGCTTGTTTCCTGTGATTTATTTTTATTTCGGAGACATTGCATAGCCTGCTTTCACGTTTAAATTGCAAAATAAAAAATTTGGTAAGGTAACCAACCCAAACTGCTATTGCAATAAAGCCATGGAAAAGACAAACCACCTCTCTGTGGCAGTCTAGAGACAAAGAGGTTTTATTGATTTATTTATAGACAAAAAGGAGCCGTTTGTTATTGTGTGAGAAATTGAGAACATTTGGAATCACTTGCTAAAGTTCTCAGTTTGATCTATGTTCCTAATTTGACCCATACACCACTGAAAGTCAGCACAGAATTAAAAAAATAGGATGGGTGAGCAGTAACATTTAACCATTTTAAAACAATCGGTTGAACAATTTTCTTGAGAAAAGAAAGCGAGAAAAGAGATTGGGAAATAATTTTCCATTATTGTATTTTCGGGATACTAAAAATTAGATAAAATAATTTGAAAGAACTGGTTTAATAGTATCAAGTGCTGTAGTACCTTGCTGTATTTTGAGGAGGTTGTACTGGTCCCTTAATTGCTGAACCTGTGAAGTTTGCTGTGTTATGGTTGCTTGGCTCAATTCATTCTCGCTGCTCAGGGCAGATACTTGTTTCTTCAAATCATTCAGTTGCATATCCTGAATTTTAGAGAGAGACGTCAGACCATCAGGAGATTTACGGAAAACAAAACTTAAAAATGTTGATGTCTATCGATCTATAATAATAATAATCCTTACATTTGATATAGCACTTTTTATGTATTCATGTGTATTCATACATCACAATGTATTCAGACAATGTCTTGAAGTGGGATTTGAAAGTCAGGAGGGTAAGTCAAAGGGAGTTCTAGGAACAGAGGAGAAATGCTTTCTTCTGATGTTGCAGTGGATAGAGCGGGGAGATGAAGCAGACTAGTCATTGAAATTAACTTAATCATTCCTTGAACATATTCAAGACTGAGATAGATATATTTCTTATTGCAAAAGGGATTAAGGGATATGGGGATAAGGCGGGGTTATGGTATTAGCTGGAGTTAGATTAGGAGATTGTCAATTGCACTGCCTTCTTGATGGCTTCATACCTATCTCATAGTAAAACTATCTTGGGATGGAGAAAGAGAACTTTTAAACTTCAAAATATAGATCTTCACCCTTTTTGCAAGCTTTGGGTGCAAGAGAAAAATCTTAAAACAAGGTTATTTGTAATAATTAGGTATTTTTTACTGAAATGTAGAGGTTACCTGTTCCCGGATGAGTTCCTTGTATTGGTTAACTATACTGTCATGCTGTTCCAATGACTTCTTCACCTCCTCTTCTTTTTTCTCATCTTCACTGGATTTTTGGACAGCCTTTATTATAAGAACTGGATTGAAAATAGACATTACTTTCCTCGTTCTAATATAATTAAATTAATATTTGTGCAGCAAAACATTTCTATTTTACCTGCTGGAATAATTAATTTGAAGTACCATTATTGAAATCACCATTTGCATTGAATGTCTGTGGGTAAAGCAAGCACCTTTAAGCAAAATCCACTAAACGAGCCTCAAAATAAGATCACTCAATGCTGCAGCTGAATCAGATTCATTCAAAGTGTTTGTAATGATGTCAACTTATAATAGGATTAAAGTATATGTCAAATGAGATACAAGGCAATTAGAGATATTTAGATTACAAGACTACTCTTAGCAGACAGTGCTCTTAATGGCAAGCTATGCGGTTTTAGCTGGGTAAACTCCATCACTTGGCTCAATTGGTAGTACCCCAACACACATTCCGGGGTTCCCAAGTGTTGGTTCTTACCAGCCTGAGATTTATACTCTCCGGAATTAGGTAAGCAGGGTGCATCCTTCCAGAGAAGGAGTACCCATTCAGATACATGGGAATTTTACGTGTAGTTGGGATGCTTAGAACTCAGTTTGGTTTGGATACTCTTAAGCATGTGTCGGACACCTGACTAAACAAAGTAAAGATGCGCAAGAAGTGCCGTTGACCTCCTTTGCAAAATTTCGGAGGTTCATCCTGTACATGGTGCAGGAAGTGACATTAAATGTTTTCGACACATAGTGACATCTACAGCACATGGTGATGGCTACGTCCTGGACAACAAGGAACTGCAAGTTGTGTAACGTTTTTAAAGCCTTAGTTAATTCTGAGCGCAGTTTCTAGGATAGTTACCTTCCAATTCTTTAACTAATTTGGTGAACTCATGGTCAAACAACATTTGCTCTGGAGTGGAGTAGCTGGGCTGCGGCTTCTGACCAGCTCGAGAATACAACTCATGCTTACTGATGTAACCCAGTTTCTCAATGAAATTTTCCTTTCCAATCCTCTTCTCTATGAGTTGTTTTAGTTTTTCCCTATTCATAGAAAAAAAAATTTGATTATTAAATAGTGATCACAAATAAAAAACCTAATTCACAATATGTTTTCCTTGTTATTTTACCCATGTATTAGTCCATACTTGTAAGTACAATACTCTTAAAATTCAGAAGTTTCCTTACACATTCTTACTGATTCAGCGCTTTAAGATTCTGAATATTCTCCACTGGTGACTTTCAGATTTCTAAGTAATTTTAGTACCATTTTTAACGTTAGTTTGGAGTTTTCATTGTGACATCAAAACATCACAGATGGTGGAAAACAAAAAACTAACTTAATGAATGATCAGATAAGATCAATAAAGCAACAAGTGATGTTAATGGCTACCTAATGAACCAGATGTTGGCATTTTAGTGCAAAATACTGGTTAGCTAAATCCTGTGAAAATCATTGAGACATTTTAACTGTGCAATAAAGCACTACATGAAATGCAAGGATTATTTATTAAAATATCCACAATATTTTCATATGTACAATGAGGGTGGTTCCACTTCGTACGGATATTGAACTCTCTACTGGATTTGACTTATGTAAAACTAGGCACAAGGGCCTATTGTTCGCTTGATCATAAGGTATCTGTAATTTCAGGGGGAAGAAACAGTACAGTATAGCTGGGAAAACTGAAGAAAAGTAACAGTGTATCAAGTCAATACTTGCTCCCATCAGTAAGAACAATAGGTGTGTTGAGTAGATGTTTGAAATACACCCTCTGAACAAGCAAGATCATTTTACCACAATTACAAAACGTGCTTGGATAATTTAAATTACTATTAACCTGCAGCATTTGGATTCACTCAGCTGCTCTGCCTCAGTCAACCCACTATTTCACATATTAAATATTGTCCTATCCTTTAATATCAATTGAATAGACAGACAGGAACTTGTTTTAAGGTCTCAATTGAACGATGGCATCTCTTAACAATGCAATGTTTTCCCAGTACTGCTCTGGACACCATTAGTGTCAGACCAGACTATGATCTCAAAGTCCTAACGTGTAGCTTGAACCCATAATCTTCTGACCCAGTCCCATCAACTACAAAAATCCAATTGTTTAAAATGGACTTTCTGGTACAAATCAACCTTTTTCTCAATAAAAACAACCTGTGGCAAAAACATGGGGAAACGAAAACTGAAAAAGTTACAAAAGTAAAGATTTATTGATTTATTACCCAGAAACTCGATTCTATCCCACGTGAAGCTAATTGTGCTTTTTAATGTTAAAGGTATGCCAGTATGCAACGCAAAATTACTTACTTGGTGTAGTTCTCCAGCGTGTTTTCATTGTAATAAATGCAGATACCCAATAATAGCGCACAGAGACCTTGTACTAGTTGCTCCTCTTCTCCAAGATTCTCAGAGATCTGTCCAGTTAACTGTAGGATACTGTCAAGGGAAATCAACTACTTGGAAATAGAAAATAAACACTTTTATTCATGAAACTTCTCCCTTTAGTATAAATGGACAGAAGGCCGTTAATCCACATATGAGGTTCCATTTTATAGTAGATTTGATAGTTTAATTATTAAGAAAGGGTTTCCCTTCTTTACTGAGGGCATTTGAATCTCTTTTTCCCCCTTCCACTTGAGTACAGTTTCATGGGTTACAGGCACTTTGCTCAAGTGGCCATTATTCACATACGAGTATTGGTACAGTTAACAGGAACCCTGCCTCATTGTTCCCCACACTAAACCGGGGCGCTGAATGTAACTGTAGTGATCCAACCACATCACCAGCTGAATTCTGTTAATGCAGAACACAACATGAACCTAACCAGCATTTATCTGCAACGTTACTGTAAGTTGGCCATCATTAGCAAGATTTTTAACATCACAAGGTAACATTTGTTTTAAGTACTGTAATGGGAAAACCACAACAAGCATGGTAATGAGAAGTGTGATCAAGCAGATAAAACAAGTAAGATCTAATCTAAAAGTTCAAGAACAAGAAACACTGATAACTAAGTGGAATGATAAGTCTTTATAAAACTGAAGCAGACTCTTCCATTGTGTACCGGTGATTAGGATACTGGCATATTTAATTTAAGACTTCTGGGAAGATCTGGCAATGTACCACTAAAATAAATGCTTGTTTTTTGTAACACCATATAAAAGGATACAAAAGGGACATTGGTCTGGTTATGCAGAAAGTTAGAGACAGCTATAGGACAACTAGTCATCCATGTAGACAGCAACATCAGCAGGCCAACTCTTGTCTGCACCTTGCTTCCCTAAATGTAAGTAAAGCATTAGTACTGTGTAATCAGAGTAAATTGCAGATTTAATTCAATGACATTTTCATTAAAATCTTACACCTCTCAGATTTAGCCACCCAGTTAATACTGCGACTCTAAACCACATTCAGGGTTAGAACAGACACTGGTATATGTTGAAGCAAGTTCTAAGTAAAATCTAAAGACAAAGCAAATGAGTAACCAACACTTAATTGCAACCAAATTAAATAAAAATCTTTCATAATAAATTGTCATCTAAACTCCTAATTGCTCAGGAGAAACTAAGCAATGATCTGATTGTTACATCTGAACAGCATTGCTATCAGGGTAAAAAGAAGAGTTCTGAACTAAAACTGTTTTTGATCAAACACTGGCTAGATGGAGTGACGTTTATTATACAATTACCTCACCCCAATAAACCATGAAAGAGAATCGGCTTAGACATGTGATGGATCACCAGTGATGCCCCACTATGTGTAGGACATGACTCGTACCAAATTAAATCAATGGTAATTGTCACTAGATAGAGTCATTTCACAAACGTGCAAAAAAAAATTCAACAATGAACTAAATTAAATGGCTCAGATAAATTGCAGTAAAATTAATTGCAGATTTACTTCAATTACATTTTCATTAAAGAGCTTACATATCTCAAGATTCAGCCATCCAGTTAGCACTGACTCTAAACAACATTCGGGGTTACAACTGGAAATTTGAAATAACAGAAATGCTGGAATAGCAGTTAGAATCATAGAAAATTACAACAAAGAAGCAGGCTATTCAGCCCAACAAGGCTGAGACTGATATATTTTTTAAAAATAGAGGGATTAGGGGATATGGGGATAGGGCAGGTAATCAGAGTTAGGTCTGAAGATCAGCCATGATCTTATCGAATGGCAGGGCAGGCTCGAGGGGCCGAATGGCCTACTCCTGCTCCTAATTCTTATGTTCTTATCAAGTCTGCAAGGGTTCTCAGAGCCAGCTGTATTTTCAATTCCACTTCTCTACCCTTACATGCCCTTTCAAGCCTCCAACATGCATATTCCTGTCTACTTCCCCATTGAAACCCACAGTGGATTCTGCCTTTACTATCTTACTTGGAGGGCATTCTACACCCCAACAAGTTTTTACAAAGCTCTTCTTGTGGCAATCTTAAATCGAAGACTGATCTACCAGTGGAAATAGTTTCTCCCTATAAGATACTCAATGAGGTAGGGAAGAGTTCATAAATCAGCTAGATCAAAATAAACACATGAAGCTGCATTGGCATGAAATTAACTAAGAAGCATGTTTCCACCAATGGTCAATACTCAGGTTGATGATATTTAGAGGGATCTTGATTGATTGGGAATTTGGGCTGAAAAGAAGCATTGATCATGAGACAGGTTTGGGGGTACAAAGTGGAATATAAATTAAATACTACATGGATACAGCACACAACCCAGAAACAGCACTGGGAGAAGGGGTTATTGGCTGACAGATAGTTAAAACTTTCAGGACAATGTGCAACAGCATAAATAAGATTTTAGGGTACACAGAGTGTAGTTACAGCATGTATTACTGGGTTTTACCAAACATTAGGATGATTCCAGGCATTGTATCAAACATTAGAGAAGTTTGCACAGTTCAGGGGTCCATATTACAGTAATGATATCCTAATGCTGGAATTGGTACTTTAATTATGCTGATGTAGGATCTTACCCAAAATGCTGAGCTATCTTTCCGACTATATTCTCCTGTCAATTTCCAGTGTTGAATCAATTGGTTTCCAGGGCTAAGAACATGTCTATTTCTTTATGTCTGCTTGTATTACTACAGATCTAGTTGGATTTGCCAGGGGTGTTTCCTTGGAGCCAACTCAGATTCAAATGAGTGAAATAAACCACCATTAAATTAATTTAAAATGTACCAACTATTCTAGTGAAATATTGTGTTCATGAAAACTCTGAAATAAGGTAATTCTAACATCTAAATTTCAAAAATGAGAAGTAGCCACAATGTTTAGTACATGCAAAAACTGGATTATGCTAATATCTTGAATTACACAGTGAACACTACTCTTAATTATCAAAGCAGCACTGAATCTGCTAAAGGTTGCATTGACTATGTTGAATTGGACCACAAATCTGAACTATGGAAACTTTTCAGATTTCCACACATAGAAATCCATCGGCTTCAACTCATAGAATGCTTTCCCAGTCGTCTCAATCCAAGGAACCACAGACGATCACATACACTGGGTTCTCAACTCTAAGTACTATTTGAAATATTAGAAATCACAAACCCTTTCATTAATATTGTAACTCTTTCTGTTCCAGTCAAAATTACACAACTAAAATATTTCAGTAGTTAAATACTGGAAGCAGATACAAACAAATGTAATCGAGTCCTCTCAGATCACTATCAAACATCTGGTGAGATATAAAAAGAACAAATAATAATCCTTGCATTTGATACAGCACTTTATCATGTCGGAAGGACATCTCAAAGCGCTTCACAGGATTTACTATAAAATGGAGTGAATGTGTATTTTGTGGGCAAACGTGATTCCCAATTTGCACACAGTATTGTCCAATAAACAGCCATGGAGTGAGGGACCAATTTTTTATTTAAGGGATTGTTGGCCAGGACACCGGAAGAGACTCCCTTTCTTTTCGAATAGTGCCACGAGATCTTTAATGTCCACCTGACCAGGTAGACAAGACCTCAGTTTTACATCTCATCTGAAGGATGGCATCTCCATAATGCAAAACACTCCCAGCACTACCTTGGAGTGTCAGCTTCAACAAAATGTTGACCATCTGAAAGAAAAACAGAAATTGCTGCAAGCTCATAACTAATTCATGAGGATAAGTTAATCGGATTTTAATTAAGGATGCCACCCAAAAACCCCACAGGGAAGGTTGGTGAGCAACCTGCAATGCATGTCCAGAATTTCCTATTATTTATTATGCACACGACTCCTTCAAGCCCATGCTGCAACAATAACAAAATTACATTTATTGAGCGCCTTTCACGTCAGGAGGACGTCCCAAAGCGTTGGCCATTTATTGGACATACAATGGACATTTATTACAATGCTACGTTGCAATATAGGACCACGGTGAAATGACCAGTTAAAAAAAGTAATAAAAACTGAATATTTTGATAAACTGAGTGTATGCCAAAACACTCCATGCTGACTCTCCAAGCACAGCCTTACTGTATGTGTCTCACTATGTGAGCCGATGTTATTATAAGAAATTCAGCTTGCCCATATTACAACAGCTTGCATTTATACATTGCCCTTTAGGCAGGATAGCATGTCGGAGTCAGGAGCCTGACGTTGAGTTGGAGGGAAGTGACCATAAGCACGGTCAAAGAGGAAGGTCTTCAGGCGTGATCTGAAAATAGGGAAGAAGGAGGCAAGGTGGAGGGTTTGAGGGAAATTTCCAGAGTTTCAGGGTGAAATACTAGTGTGAATATAACCAATGTTTATCTGGTGGTAGATGGTAGTTTTATTACAATGGACAAATTTCAAGCTTTCTGATATAACTTTAGCACTGCATTTATACAATTTACACAGCACTTTTCACATCGGCAGGACATTTCAAAGTACTCATTTCAGATCTTATATCAGATTTGTTAAGAATCTGATCAACTGCTTCATCGCTTTTGATTTCTGTCAGCTAATTTTTCTCGTCCTAAATTCTTCCCTTTCCTTAAAGAGTTTTGACTTTGCAGTATGGATAGTGCTCATACTCCAGGAACTAGCACACATGATTATTATTCATGTGTAAACCTTGGGTATTGGCAAGCATTTTGACCATGGGGCATCACGGTCAAATGCCACTTGTGACCTTACTTGACATTCACACATGCACACCTCCAGCAGGGAAGCCTCTGGATATTGTTCAAGAACAGAAACCCTTTGTGAACCCTCACTAACCAAGGAGTCTCGGTGTCAATTATAATAATAATAATCCTTGTATTTGATATAGCGCTTTTCACGTCTTCTAGACATCTCAAAGCGCTTCACAGAATACTGCCAAGGTGAGATGAGCTAATTCAACACACCTTTGTAAACAAACTGATACAACTGGGACTCAAACCTGCAATTATGGGTCATTAGAGTTGTGTTTTTGTTACCCAGTTGTTTGCATGCTTGGGGTTGCTAACAGAGTTTTGAGTGTCCATGACAACGTCCAACTCATATGTGCAAATGGATTTTTTGGTCAGTAAGTCTTGAATATTAATGATTACAGTGTAGAGTTAGAAAATTAGAGACTCAGAGGGAGAGAAAGAGACAGTCAGAGAGAGACAGTCAGAGAGAGAGAGACAGACACACAACAGGTTAAGAAAAGAACTGTGTGGTACTACTACATTAATAATAATCCTTGCATTTGATATAGTGGTTTATCACTTTGAAGTTTCACAGAATTTTATTGTTCATCTGTAATGCAGCAGTTTCCAATTAGTGCTGATAATTAGCTCTCAATAATTGCACTCATCAAAAAGCAACTGTTTTGTAAAATCTGCATCTGGCTTGTTTTCTTGAGCTCTGGAAGTTACAAAATAAATCTCAATTATGACCAAATGTACCTGTTTAGATGTCCCCCCACCCCCCATTTTCTATTTTTAAAAAACTTGCATTTATAATAATAATCTGCATTTGGTATAGCGTCTTTCATGTCCGGAGTACGTCACAAAGCATTTCACAGGATTTACTCTTATGTGACTCACATAGTGACTCTTATGTGAAAATTGGCTGCCGCATTCGCCCACAAATCCAATGTCCCACAAACAGCCATGACATTTTTTATTTGGGGGATGGTTAGCCAGGACACCAGGAGAAACTGCCTTCTCTTTTCAAGTAATGCCATGGGATCTTTAACGTCCACCTGAGCAGGTAGATGTACCTCCGATAATGCAACTCCCCACCACCCCCCAGTACTGCATTGGAATGTCAGCTGAACTATGCGAGTTCAAGTCCCGACGTGCGGCTTGAACCCACAACCTTCTGCCTCAGAGACAACAGTGTGCCAGGTGAAAAGCCCCCTTCATTCAGAGCACTCAAAATAGAGCTTAACACAAAAATTAAGTCCCAAATAACTGGAAAAACACTGTTTTTTTATTTTGTGGATAAAAATGACTTTAATAGTCCTTACCTGTGATCTATGGCCTAATGCTATAATCAGGCAGTGATTTTCTCACTGAGCCATTGGGAAGTTAACTAATCATTTTTGCTAAGTATTTTAAAGAAATTAAATAAAAATAGCATTCCTGTTATACCAAGACACTTAAATGTATTCATCCACTCACATTTCTAAATGTTTTCATTAACTATAATGGATAAAAGTCAATTATCTACATTCTTTGCTGTTATTTAAAGTATTTGCAGATTTCTAAAGTGGCAAGAAAAGGGTCACGTTGCTACAACATTTACTGCTGCACAAATCAAACAATTTATTGCAGTTTCATCTCAACGACAAACATTTTCCACGACAATTTTATTAAATGGTGTTTTCAGAAATTGAATATTTTCAAAATAGGACAATTGTGTTTGGAGAGATTATGTCAACTTCAGCTACAATCAAGAAGAAATCTGCAAGTTACCATTCCTAATGAGCAAGTGCTGCACTAATGCTGTTCCACATGCAACACATGGTGAATAATAGATGGCCAGCCACCACAAGGTTGTTATGCAGCAAGCATATACACACACACATACACACACACACACACACACATTAAAACCTTACTTATCACGTTAAATATTGCAAGGGTAATTGCATGCTTAGCCAAAAGGATGCAGGAAAGGGATGGATTTTTTTTATTTCAGTGAAACGGTGCTAGGGTATCTGAAATAAGCAGTTTGAGGTCAGGTATATGCTACATTAGATAGAAGGCCTCCTTCATACAGCCCAACAAAGTTTAAATTTATTTGCAGTTAAGCATCAGTGAGATATTTTCATATTAGTTAACCTCGTGGTCTTTACCTGAAACTGGCACAATTAACCACAATATATACAGTAAACGCCTGATATATCGTCACTCCAAGGGAAAAGAGCTCAGTGACTCTATATTCAGGGTAACTATGTAGGCATGAGTCCTCCGTGGCCACTAGGGGTGCTGTGGCTGGGAGTACCTACCCCAACACACTCTGTGCCTGCACAGAGCGAGCAGCTGTCACTTTATTTGTTAAAACTAATTTAGGTTAAGTACAGTATAAGTATCTTAAACTTTAAGATACATAAACATTACATACCTTTTAAGTTTAAGATTTATTTATGTGTCTATATTAAAAAATCATTTTGCTCATTTTAACATCCTGAATCGCTCAGACATTATCAATCAGGCAGAACCTCACAGAAGGCAAGGTGTTAATTTTTTTTTACTCAGAGATGTTGCCATAACAGTCAAAACAGTGGGTGGCTGAGGGCAACCTTTACCCGTCCTCCTGACGTGAAAGGCGCTATACAAATGTAATCTTGTTGTTAGTGTTTACCCACAGTACCAGGTCGGTCATTGTGGGTGTTCACTGAGCAGCCCTGGGTTGGCTCAGGTATCAGGTATGTTCTATCTGATGATATATCCAATACTTTACTGGGATGTGTGGAATGCAACTTTGTATGTTATAAACAAGTGATGAAATAAAGGGGGGGGGGTGGGGGGGCATGCGGGCGGGTGGGTCCCTTATTCACATTTCACAACTGAAGTGGCTGGGATAATAGTCATGCAATGATATAAGACAGGTCTTATCAGGAGTTCACTGTATATTGTATACACACACATTGTACATGAAGCAGCGGAAATATTTAGAAACATAAAAAAAGTATAATTTTGTTTATGACCATATATGACCTATTCAAAGTACTTAGGTATTGTATAAATAGGTAAGCAGTTAATGGTATGGCTCTGTTAAAATTTACAGGACCAAGCTTCTCCCCCTCCCTCCCCCAACACCATTGGTCACACAGAAATGAATGGTATGCCATGGCACCACACGCTGATTGAAATGTGCCAGAGCTAGTGACTTGATCAATGTAAATATGCTACATTTGTTCTTGGCATCCTTGTATAGGAGAGGGGAGGAAGAACAGAAAAAGAAGAATGAACAAATAATCAGCGAAGTCCCTCGCCCAATCACCATTGTGGGGTCCCTGCTGGAAATGTGCACGTGCTGACATCGGTGAGGACAGAATCAGGTTCAACTATGTTAGCCCAATAATAAACAATGTGCTGACATTCTCTGTGCAAGTTCATATGGCCATATAGGGAAGCCAAGGAGCTGGGTCACTGTCTTATTTTGGGAGGGGGGGAAAAAAAAGGAGGAATTGAAGTAATAGATAAGCCCTTTTATCACTCAGTAACTGTTACAATACCATTTACAGGCTAAACACCTAGGGGTGAATTTGATACAAAGCTAACAATTGAGTTTCTTATTGCATAGTGCCCCCTGGAGGAAAACATGATCAGTGACGGCTCCATGTCAGCTTCCTCACAATCAGTGCACACTGTCAAGTATTGAACTAAAACCACCCCTCAATGTGAACTCAAACAGCCAACCATGTTAAAGCTGAAACTGTCCAAGCAAACTATTAAAACCCCCCCAAACAGTGGTTGTAGCACTGGATGCAGTTAAGGAAAACAACAGCTTAACCCGAGGCAAGAAAGAAAGTACCCTGCTATTTGGCAAGCAAATGGTTTCTGTACCAAATAACTTACCCGTCTGTCGATCTTATCTCCCTGTAAATCATATAGTAAAAAATGGACAATGTAAAAGATATACTTAGCACAACAATTGTATTCAAGGACTTGTAAAATGTTGCTTTAAGAAAACGTTATTAGGGGGTTATTTATTAGGATCCTAAGTAGTATTGAAAGCTACAGAAAACTTCTGATCTAAATGAAGTTACCTTTTTAAATATACATTCTTATTAATAAACATTTCATCAAATCATATTGTGTTACATTATCAACACCAGTGTGGTCCAACAGGCGGCACACGGTTGATTTTATGCGGCCCGCAACCATTTCCACTATTCCAACTTCCACTCCCTCCCTGGTGAACATCTAATACTACCTAGGATCCTTATGAATAAGCCCCTAATAAAGAGATGTACTTAGCTTCCTGATAGTCTGCAGTAAAGGCACTGTGCGCTGGGTCATCCCAACCACTGGCTTACGTTGCCCTGGGAGGACATTCACCTGGGAGGAAGGGGGGTGGAATGCTGGAATTAGTCTTGAGCCGGATCCGGCCTGTGGGCCACGCTGGATGTGGCCCACGGACCTTTCTCAAATAGGGAATGTGGCCCGCGGCAGCCAAAAGGTTGGACAACCCTGATCTACACAGTGATTATTCAGGAAGAATCTTCATTCTTCAGAACTTTTCTTGGAGGATGTGAAACAACATTTGCCGTGACATCAGAGAAACATTGACCTATACAGAACAGGAGATGCTGACAGGATGACTGGATAATAGGATTGGCATAACTGGAATCCTAACTCCATTGATGTACAGATCAGTAAACTTAACTGCAATCTGAAATGTCACTGACATGACACTATCTGATTAGTTGGATTTTTAAGGACACATGACAACGCATTATATATTTGAAAATATGCACAAGAATTAAGAAACCTTTTAAACGTTATAGCCAGTTGGCTAGAATTTGCTCTCAGCTGATTAATGCAAAAGTTCAAATAATGCCTAGCCATCAACATGGCATCCAAGCAAAAATAGAACAATCAGATCATTAATTCTGTTTTTTGGGAGTTGATCAAGGTGAGGAGTGACAATGCTGGGAAAATAAAACTGTTAATTTTGAACATCTACTGTTATCAAGAACTCACCAACCAGACACAGGACAAATTAAATGCAGAGAAAAGCTCACTATATTGCAGTGGTGGCCAACCTGTGGCCCACAGGCCGCATTCAAGAAGCGGCTCTCTGAATAATTCGCACAAATCCAGGTAATTTTGTCTTTGATCAATTTAAGGCATAAATCAAGAAATATTTTATCAAGAAAATTTATTTTGTTGACTGACCATAAAGGTTGTCTACCACCGCTCTTGTCTATGCCAACAATGTGCTGTTTAGTTCCAGTTATTCCCAGCCTCAAGAGCATTCCCTCTTGCACTGGTACAACTTTTCCACTCACCACATCAGACATCTTTATGGCTGGGACTGTCAGTATCTGCTTTCTATTGACAAACAATGACCTTATACTGAAGCACTATAACTGAAATTATTGGAACAAATCTGAGAAGCCATAATAATTGATAAACAATGGCCAGTGTTATGAGAATACAGAACTCCCATTTATTAATAGGGCACAAAGTACTTTTACTCTGGTCGATACAAACAGCATCTATCCCTGCACAGCAGCACTTTTCCAGACAAGAGATTTTTAAAATTAAACATTTGGAGAATTTTAAAATTCTGCCAAGTGACAAAGTTTGGTTGATGGGAAATTAATTAATAAGTAATTTTACAGCTTGCATTACTTTATCTTGATGCAATCTCCCCTGGCCAAAATAAAGGCCACATTTTAAAAGGTTAGTTCTGACCTTTACCACTTCTTAAACAACAGGGTATATTCCCTGGCTGATGCTGTTTTCTGGTCTGGTGTTTGACACATGCTGAAACGTAGACTTCAGAACTCTAGGCTGTACACTGGGTTACAGCTGGAGATTAACCAGTAAGCTTCCTGGCTCGCTTCCTGCTGCTTGCCCAGCTAGAACCAACCTATCCTTTAGGATTTGGGCTTATAAGGTTAACAGAAGCCGACAAGGAAGAATCCCTGCCACCAGTGAATAGTCTGGCCCTCTAAGGCCCACTGATGAACCATCAGCAGTAACCTGGAGCACCGTATACCTGCCTGGCTCAGAAACTGGACCACTGAGACCTCTGCAGAAAGGAATTTCCAAGCCAAAGAAACCCCATTTACCTCCCTCCAAGGAGGATAGTCCCAAGCTGAGAACAGGCGAGAACTATTCCCAAGCATCCGTCAATACTGTGTGTTAGTTTTGAAAGAAGGTTGACTTTTGGTGACGTTGACTTGGGGTGACATACACATAGCAACCTCTACACCTTCGTACCTGGGAGAGGATGTTGGTGCATTGTTGCAGTAGGGAGACTGGTGGGTTTCCAAGGCTTGTTGCCAGTTGTACCCTCAGCAGCTGTTCCTTCTGGATGGAGTTGTCCTGCAGAGCATGTGCTAGAGCTACAGCAGCACACCAGTTAGACAGAGAGTCAGTGGAGAAGAGACCACCACAGAGCAGCTGGCCTGCTGAAATGGAGTTGGCTAAAGAAACAAAGCGATATTGTTAAAATTCAATAAATAAATATCATCAGGGAAATGTACAAAATCTTAACATAATCTTCAATTTTCACCACCTCAAGCTTATTTTCAAAATCTAGTCACATTAAGAACAGTCACCTTCAAATACCACAAGTACAAAGCAGGCTGATGGAAATGTTCCACACAGTTTCATGAATGGTATTTACACATTACAATAAGGATTTGGAAACCAAGGAACATTAAAAAACCATCCTGTACCAGTCATAACTCTGATTACAGTTTGTTCCCTAGCCCAAGAATATCATGTAGGATGTACTACCTTTGAGCTCCATTACCACTTTATGACTCTAATCTCCACAAACACATCAGAACTTTTTCTAGGCAACAGGACAATTGCTAACATCTGGAAAATGCCCACTGAACAGCAGGAAAGCTTACCATCTATAGTTGCTGGAAGAAGCGTGGCAACAATTTCTCCTTGTCCTTTCTGATTCTTGTACAAAAAGCACTCAAAGCAGTACAGCACAGCACAACGCAGCACAAACGGTTGTCTTTCATTCACCATGGACATTAGAAGCACGACGATTGCAGGTCTATGTTGAGAAATGTGAATTGTGGGAAACCATTAAAATTACTGTGTTCCAACTTTAATTTTGGGATCGTATTAAATTATGAATGATTTTAGAGTAAACAGAAAAAGATTTCCGCTATTTGATGAGTCACTAACAAAAGGTCATAAATTCAAGAGCTCTGAGACACTACTCTGCGTGAGGGCACTATATAAGTTGCTGTAAACTTTCAATGATTCAAACTAAATGAAGCTCCACATCAGTTTTGGGGAGTCCTGTAGCTCAGGTGTTAGAGTACTTGTCTTGCAAGCAAGAGTCCTGGGATTGGTTCCCAGCAGGACAAACTGTTGGACAAGTTTCCTTACTCCAGACTCCTCTGTTTACCTAGCAGCAAATAGGAATTTGGTTGTTAGTCAATTGCAGATCGCTTTTCTGGGGATAATAATCCTTCAACAAAATAATAATTTGATCACTCAATATACGACTGTTTGCGATACATTGCTGTGCGCAATTGACTGCCGCGTTTCGTCCACAAATATACAGAGTTGTATATTCTGTGAAGCGCTTTGAGACGTTTTAAGATGTCTAGAATACTTGAAAAGCACTATATCAAATGCAAGGATTATTATTTTATCAGGACTTCTCCAACTCCTCCTAAAATAAATGGTACTAGAGTATTGGACAGTAACAATTTATTCTTTGCTGCAGATATTTTTCAAAAAAAACTTTCTATAGCTGCTCCAGCCTAGAACTATACAACATAAAGCATACAGACAAATGTAGGGAGCCATCATTTTGTTGCATTTTGGTTTAGGTGACTATCCTTATGAGTAAAATTCAGGAAAAAGAGCTCAGCAGATAAAATAGAACCAACATTTATTAGCTCAGAATCTTCACTTCAGCGAACCACTGAAAGCAAGAATTCAAAATCGACATGAAAAACAAATCTTTTTGTAAAACCATATTGTTTCTGATCTTACCTCGGTGGATTAGAAGGTGCATTCACAGAAGCAAAATAATCCTGGTTTATTTGGGAGCCTCTGATCACTTCAGATACGGTGTTAATCGTCTACATAAAAAATTAGTATATGATAATCAAAATTTCAGAAACTATATGCACAACAATAATCAGAGTATTGACGTAATGAAATTCACGGTTATATTTGGAATGAATCTCTTGATAAATGGGATCAAGTTTTCCCTGAGGTTGCGCTGTTAAATGATTTCGGAATATGAGAAGATAGATTCCCAGTTTATTAGACCTTTCCAGATCTTTTAATCCAACTGCCCAATTCTTTCACCAATCCATTTATACCTCTATTAGCCAAGTATCTGTCTTTTTTTAAAAAAAATCTCTATTGATTCCATCTCTACAGTGTTTTGAAATGGAACATTCCACATCTTCACAAGATGAAGAAATGCTTCCTGACCTCAGTGCCAAGTTTCTTAGTTCTGAGTTGAAGGCTTTGCCCCCTTGTGATGAATCCCTCTACCACAGGGAAGAGTTGTCTACTATCTAATCTGTCAGTACCTCTTATTATTTTAAACATCTCAATCAAATCACCTCAATCTCCTGTGCTCTAATTAATATAACCCCACTCTACTCAGCCTCTCATCATTGCTAAACCTCTTCATCCCATTACTAGACACCCTTCAAGTATTCTGAGAGCTAATCCAGCATTTCCTTCCCCCAGCTAGGTTCATCCATCTCTGCTAGCTTCAAATCAAATCCAGTGATAGCGATACCTGTGAGCCTATCACTTTTGAGATGTCTCTAAGACATGATAAGATGCTGTATCAAATGCCAGGATTATTATTTTTATCACTATTATCTGGCACTGCTAAGTACACATTTTGAGCTTTAATTGTTCACCACACTCCTCTTCCTCTGCAGAATGATGCTGACTGGCGACAATTTCTCACTGTTACCAGGTCACCCTTCAAAAGGGGAAAAAAAATTAATTCCTGGGGAATTTCAGATAAAGATTTGAGAGATTTGGGCTGTTTTGATACTAACAGCGATTTATTTTGCATTGGTGTCACAATCATAATGTTAATCACTTACCTCGGTGAGAATGTCTGCAGGAACCCCGGTTGCCATCAGGATGGTGCACAGCTGCTGCAACAGGCCACACTGGAATGCTGATTTCTGACAGCTGCTAGTGGCCCCAGGGGGGTTCACAGGAGATACCAGCACTCTCACCAACTGGAAAGTTCAATCACATTACAAATGGACACATAATGAAATGATGCTTCACTTGCCAGAAAAATAACGCAACATTTAGACTAAAAGCAAAATACTGCAAAGCTAGAAATCTGAAACAAAAACAGAAGTCACTGGGAACACTCAGCAGGTCAGGCAGTATCTATGGAGAAAGGAAAGCGAGTCAACGTTTCGGGATATGACGGAGGGTCGTGGACCCGAAACTTTGACTGGCTTTCCTTTCTCCATAGATGCTGCCTGACCTCCTGAGTGTTTCCGGCCACTTCTGTTTTCGTTTACAACACTTAGAATGTTTGCTTTTGATTGGCAACATCAATAATCCCTGGAAGATTCACATCTAGATCTCAAACAAATAAAGTATCTCAGAGTCAACGTGAGAATCCTGAAATCGATCCAATCTGTGATGGGAGCTGTGGAGCCTGTCAAGGCCTGGATGGCGGGGGTACAGAGTTTGGTTTGGGTGAGGGTACAACAGACGGAGATTTCAATAAATTGGATAATGTTGGTACATCTAATATCTAATAAAATCTACTGGTATAGAAAGATATTGTGGTCCCAACTCAAGTTGTCAAGTTGCATATACGATCACAGATTTCCCCACTCTTCTCTCCACAGGCTACAGACCATCCAGAACTCTGCAACTTGTGCCCTCTCCAGCACCAGGCTCCGCGAGCCTATCACCCTCTTCATCACCTGGCTTCATTGGCTCCCCCATCACCCAGTGGATCGAGTTCAAGATCCTTGCCCTTTTAAATCCCTCCATTGTCTTACCCCCCACCCCTACCTATGCGACTTTCTAAAAACCTACCAACCCGCTCGCTTTCTCCATTCGACAGCACTGGCTTTAAATATTTAGAAATTTCTCAATACATGGCCAGCCTCACTCTAGTTTTAACAAACCGAATTTCACCAAAGAACTCAACCCCAGTCCTATCAGGTTACGCCTATTAAGCTAAGTAGTTCAAATTATTTCTTGGATGTCTCTTGCCATAAAAAGTTACAGTCTCTGCTGAAAAGCAGTCAAAACTCAGCCAACGGCATTCACGTTTGGGTTAGTTACCTTTTAGTGGAGTTGGGAGAGATGTTAACAAGAGCCCAGGCAAATGTTTTACCAAAAATTGCATACTTATTTCTAATCAAAGAAGGAAAAATGTATACTGAGAAAAAACATGGGTTGAGGCTTACTGGTATATTTTAATTGTTCCTTAAGATACAATACCTGGAGCATCAGATGAAGGTTAGTGACCTTCTGTGCAGACCACCCTGAATTGTCTTCGGCAACTTCAAACCAAGGTTTCATGCGTTGAATGTACGAACCCTCCTTGAAGAAATTTTGATTTGAACTATTGTTCTTCAGTAAGTTAAGCAGAAGAAGGAGACAATCTTCAACCACAATGCCTGGAAGACATTTAAAAACCATTAATGGTAGATAAAATAGGGTTTTATGTGGTGAGAATATAGATCTCCCTGTCAAAAGCTGTGGTTGAAGCAAAACGCATCAATGTACAGTAACCCCCTGGCTATCCAGACACCATGTATCTAGCATTTAGAATCAGCGGGACCAGGTCTGCAAATAAATTCTGTGATTCCGTACACTAAAAATCCACCCCGCGTTTTCAAACACCTGCCAGCGCACATGATGCCTATAGCTTAACACTGGCTGGTTTACTGAGAGCCTCAACGGAGCTGTATCATGTCAGTGACGAGTAGAGAACTATTGCTAATTTTTACCCTCCATCTCAGCTACTCTCTGTCTTTTTACAAGAAGTCTTATATTTATTTTGTACCGAGCAAGTAGGAACCCGGTTGTTAGACGCCAATCAACTAACAACCGGGTTCCTACTTATTGCTAGCTAAACAGAGGCGTGTGGAGTAAGGAAACTTGCCCAAAGTTTCGCCCTGCCGGGAATCGAACCAAGATCCTCTCGCTTGCGAGGCGAGTGCTCCAACCAATATGCTACATTATAAAGGGGTTTGTTTCCATATGTAGGGGAGTCTGTAAATATAAGATAGCGACTAGCAGAGAGAGAAATCTAAAAGTTTGGAATGGTGAGCAATGGCAAGAAGCTTTGGAATTATAGAGAAATGCAATAATGTCAGGAGAAGAATCATCAAAGATAGTCTTTGCAGAATTGTTATCAGAATTGGCTACTACAGGTCAAAGACAGTTTGGATCAGAAATGACACAAAGCAAACATCTGGAACATTTTAGCATCTGCTGGATAATTTACTGGTCCAGAATTTAAGTGAATCAAAATAGTTAACCTAAGAGCACAGTACATGCCCAACTAAGATCACCCTGCAATTGAGGCTTTGTTTTACAGTGCCAAAAAAAAGTCACTGGTTGGGGACAATTCAATGCCAGGTTGCCTTATTGTGTTATATGTTAATTTTTTTGAGCTAGAAAGTGAACACTTGTACGACAACATCACAGAGCTACTGTGACATGATGTTCCCAGCTATACAAGTAAGCAAGAGCAAAAATTTACTGTGTTTTTTGAGAAAAACACAAGAATGCTCATTAAGCCAACTTCAGATTACCTCCATCACTGTTGCCTTCCTCTGTGACAATATCCAGCAGTCGTTCAAATGCATTTTCAAAAGCTACAATCTTCTGAATGGCTGCATTGCCTCTTGATAATTGTTGCAACAGCAGTAGCCCCTGGAGAAAAGAAAACAAAGGACTTCATTAGCTTTTCGTTTTGCTACAGTTATCAATTCCCTCCAATCGCCCAAAGTTTATTATTATTTTGATCTTATAGTTTGAACCAATAAAATCTATTTTACAGGTTCGAAAGAGAGAAAAATGCCATCAATGATGCCATAAAAGCCATCAGGGATCAATGAACGAGATACACCTACAATTAAATTTCAGTGTACTGGACTGGCCTGCCTCATAGGGTTAGATTACATCAAAGCACTGTGTTGAAATTGTAGAGTTGAGTTTATGTTTGAGCAATGGAAACAATTGTAATACAACAACAAGATTACATTTGTATAGCACCTTTTATGTCAGGAGGACATCCCAAAGCGCTGGACAGTGTACAGCATTTCAGACCTGAGCTGGGGTCAGTGGAGGAGAAGAGGGGAGGGGAAGGGGTGGTGGCTGATGACATGGTCGAAGAGGAGGGTCTTGAGGCGGGACTTCAAGGAGGTTAAGGAGGGGCAAAGTGGAGTGATTGAGGAATGGAATTCCAGAGGTTGGGGGCAGAGTGGCTGAAGGCTCTCTCACCAATGGTGGGGCGGGTGAGTTGGGGACTTGAAGCAGGCCAGAGTCGGTTGAGCGGAGGAAACAGGCGGGTTGGTAGGGGGTTAGGAGGTCGCAGAGGTAGGGTGAGGCGAGGCCATGGAGGGCTTTGTAGGTGAGAACCAGGATCTTGAACTGGATCCTCTGAAGGATAGGGAGCCAATGGAGTCGGGTGAGAGTGGGGGAGATGGGGTCACGGAGTTTGGTGCGGGAGAGGACATGGGCTGCAGAGTTCTGGATTATCTGCAGCCTGTGGAGGGAGGAGTTGGGAAGGCCGACAAGCAGGGCGTTTGCATAGTCGAGCCAGGAGGTGATGAAGGCATGAACGAGAGTTTCAGCGGCCTGAAGGGTGAGGTAGTGGCGGAGTCGGGCGATGTTACGGAGGTGAGGGAAGACAGAGCCTTTTACTAATGGAAGTAGTAGTAACAACAAACAACAGTAGTAAACTATAGTGTACCCGAGGAGTCTGTGAGGACCGCTGTTTTCTCCATTTATCTAAATGATCTGGATTTCGGTATAAGGGGCACAATGTCTAAGTTTACAGATGACAGAAAAATAGGGCGTGTAGTTAACAGTGAAGTTTGTAAGCAACTTCAGGGGGCAGATTAGTTGATTTTGGTAGAAATGGCAAATGAAATTTAATGCGGACCAGTGACCTAATACTTTTTGGGAGGAATATGGAGAGTAAGTGCGTAATTTAGGTGGTAAAATATAGAAACAAGTGGAAGAGCAGAGGGACCTAGGGGTTAATGTACGTAAATCTTTAAAGGTGGAAAGGGAGGTAGACAAAGCTGTCAAGAAAAATGGGATCCTACGTTTTATAAATAGGTGTATAGAATATCAAACCTAAGAGATAATGCTAAACTTATATAAACCATTAATTAGACCACAGATTGAATATCATGTCAAGTTTTGGTCACCCCACTTAAGGAAAGACGTCAAAGCAATACAGGGGTGCAGAGGAGAAGCTCTAAAAAAAAAGTATGGTGTAATTGAAAAATCAAGATGACCTATTTTGTTGTTCTATTCATTCTTTGGATAACACATAAATCTTTAGGGCAGAGCCATCATTTTTGTAGCAAAGGTTATGATCACACAGTAAAAGAATTAATGTCAAAGCTAAGCACTTCATGACATTTCCTTATTACGGAATCCAATGAGAAATTTCTACATATTTATCTCTCTATATATCACTACATCAAATTTCAATGCACTTAAAGCTAACAAAATAAAAAAATAAGTACTGAAACTATGATTACACTAAAAATAGTCAAATGAAATTCTTGTATTTGATAATAGTGCTTTTAATATAGTAATTTTTGAAGCTCTTCATGGGTAATAATATTGCACCTTTCACATTGAGTCTCAAAGTGCTTCACAGCGTATACCCTAAAACAATTTCCTGGGTGAATGCAGCAGCCAATTTGCACATTGTAATGTCCCACAAACATCCATGAAGTGAATGACTTATTTATTTGGGGGATTACTGTGAAGTGTAGTCACTGCACATTTGTATATTAACATGGTAGTCAACCTTTGCACAGAAAGGTTCCACAAATAGAAGTATTATAATTTAGTTTGGGGGATTGTTGTCTTAAAAAAAGATAAACTCCCTTTTTTTTCCCCGAAATACTGATTGTCCAGCGCCTTGGGATGTCCTATCGACGTGAAAGGTGCTATACAAATGTAATTTTGTTGTTCACTTGGAAGGAAACTGTATAAAACTGTTTTTAGACTAAATACAGTGGAATCCGCTTTTGCCTGATGTCGGTTATCCCCTGATTTGGGGTAAATTGAACAAAACTCCTGGCCCTAATTCATTTGTCTTCTTAAATATGTTTTATATATGCCTGTTAACTCAGATGAAAATTCTGTTAATCTGGACAAAATGTCACACTGGTTGCCATTGAATGTACTCACTCAGGCCTTTTGTGTGTCCATTCAGCCACGAGGGGCTCTGGGAGAGAGATGGGAGGAGTCAACTTGCGATTGACAGCGGACTCCAGCCATTCACAAGCAGCTGGAGTTGGGCTGTTAACCAGTGAGGAGGCAAAGGAACAGAGAAGAACAGGAGAGGGAATATCATGATTGATGACAGCTGAGCCGCTTGTGAATGAATGGAGCCCAAACATTCACAAGTGGCTTCAGGTTGTCAATCACCTCAGCGATGCCACTGACACCCTGTTCGTTTTTACAATCACATTGGTTAAAACAAGCTTTTTGAAAGAGGAATAATCATTTTAGTACTTCACAAAATTTATAGAGCGGTCGATCCAATGGGAACGGCAATGGGAGGGAGGAAGGGCCGCTACTCCTCTGCTGGGCGGGAAAGTGCTGTATTTTGCAGCCAAACAAAAGTAAATCTATTTTACTGAATTCTGTGAGAATATTTTAACTTTAACTGATCAGTTAACACTGCTTAAAGTGAAACAATTATTGCATATTATACGGCATCGGTGGTGCTCCTCTGGTCAGGCATGGTATTTTGGTTAACCTCGGACGCCTCTTAAGTCAGACAAAATGTCTGTCTGGCTTAACTGGCTTCCACTGTACTATAATATAATCCCAATAACAACTATTTTCTGACAATCCACTGAAATGTACATATTAGAAGTTTCAGTACCCTGAAAGTTACTTACATCGTTCCGAATCACTTCTCTGGAGTCTGCAAGTAAATCCATCATCCTGGACACACCTGTTCAGTTTTACAATCACATTGGTTAAAAAAGCTTTTTGAAAGAGAAATAATCATATTAGTACTTCACAAAATTTACAGAGCCGAGAGATTACCTATCGTCCCATTTTAGAGACTGCACCAACTTTAGTGATGTAGTCACTACAGAACTAACTACAGCTTTTTTGTGCTAACTATTCTTTTAAAAGCACAAGGAGAATTTATGTTGTGATTATAATAAGAATACTTACATTTGGTTAAGCATCTTTCACGGCAGAAGAACGTCCAATTTGCAGGATACAGTGTAATGTTGAGCAACTGTGTGTTTTGTGGACAAACATTACACTGTATCCTGCACAGTGGACATCCTCCTGCCATGAAAAATGCTTAATCAAATGCAAATATTCTTATTATACTCGCAACATAAATACACCTTGTGCTTTTAAAAGAAGTCAGCACAAAAAAGCTGGAGTTAGTTTTGTGCCAAATTGCACACAACAATATCCCGCAAACAGGCATGAAGAGTATGACCAATTTTATTTAGAGAATTGTTGGCTAGGAAACAGGGAGAAACTCCGTTCTCTTTTTAAATAGTCCCATGGGATCTTTGAGATTCACCTGAACAGATGAACTGCAGATTGGACCTTGGTTTTTAACGACTCATCTGAAGGACCACAACTGCGATAAAGAAGTACACCCCCAGCACTGCATTGGAATACAGATTCAAAGTCCCGAAGTGGGGCTTGAACCCTCAATTTTCTGACTCATATGTGAGTGCTATCAAATGAGCCAAGCCAATTGCTGCCAATGGAACCAGGCTGGAGCAGTGATCAGAAGTATCTTATTACTGCTTCACCAACAAACGTGGTGGGAACCTGGTTTATATCACCTGCTCCACAATGATTTCAATCTGTCCACAAAAACAATTGCCTACATTTTGCTGCACAAACCTCCATTTTATCTTAACATAACAAAGTTGGGATTTTAACATTAATAATAATCCTTGCATTTGATATAGCGCTTTTCACGTCTTCTAGACATCCCAAAGTGCTTCACAGAATATACTGTAAAGTGAATTGACTGTATTTTTGTGGGCAAACACGGCAGCCAATTGCGCACATCAATGTCCCACAAACAGTCATGGATTGGAAAATGACCAAGTATTATTGTTTTGTTTTTTGGAGGGATTATTATAAGGTGTGTGGAGTAAGGAAACTTGCCCAAGGTTTCGCCCTCTGCCTGAAATTGAACTCAGGTCTCTCACTTGCAAAGCGAGTGCTCTAACCACTGAGCTACAGGATTAAAAATGCTCTGTCCAAATTTCTGGGGAATACCTGGGTAGCCTGTGAGATTCACACAGATGTCAGTACTGAAAGTCCAGTGTAAATCTCACTCATCACATTTAGACTGTGCAGATGGAAACCCTCCACTCGCAAGGTCTGAAACCCTTTTATACAACGAGCTGGAAAGGGAGAGGATGTGACCGAAGGCATGGTCAAAGAGGAAAGTCTTCAGGTGTGATTTGAAGACAGGCAAATAGAGTGCAAAACTGAGGGATTAAGCCAAGGAGTTTCAGAGATTCAGGGCACAGTGGCTGTGAGCACGGCCGCCGATGGTGTAGCAGAAGGCACAGGGGATGTGCAAAAGATCCGAGCCAGCTGAGTGAAGGCATGAGCAGATTGGAGTGGGGTGTGAGCAGATTGGAGTGGGGTGTGAGCAGATTGGAGAGGGAGGTGCCAGGGCCTGAAGTGATTTTAAAATTTAGCGAGAATCTTGAAATCAATCCGTTCTGCAACAGGGAGCCAGTGATGCCTGACAAGAAACGGGGTGATGGTGGTATTGAGCCTGGTACAGGCAAGGAGAGAGGTGCCAGAGTTTTGAATCATTTGTATCTTGTAAATAGTGCAGCTGGAGAGACTGGAGTGCATTGGAAAAATTGAGACAGGAGGTGTTGAAAGCATGAATGAGGAATGTTTGAAGTAAGATAAAGGAGAAGGCAGGTGATGTGGCGAAGTTGAAGGAATGTAGTCATGGTCAGGGACCAGAGGTGGAGTAGGAAGGATAACTGTGCATTAAACCGGATATCAAGATTGTGTACATATTAGACATCTGGTGCCAAATTGACTCAGTTTATATGACAACCATTCAGTAATTGACGCAACAGCAATTTGTTACATGCAATATCCTCCATTTTAATTGTAATTACCCAGAGGCAAAGAGAGTGTCAAAGAGAGAGAGAGAGCCAGTGAGAAGAGTAAGAATGCTAGAGAAGCAAAGAGACACACACTCGCACGCGCAGAGGGGTGAGTCATAGAAAGTGAGAGAGGGGGGAAAGCAAAGAGGGAAGAGAGGCAAGTAAGAAGAGAGTGAGAAGCAGGGAGAAGAGCTGCACTGTGCTTCTGAAGTTTTTATAAAATTTGCTGCAAGAGTGTGTTTATTTTCTGCTGATTGTTCAAGTTTCCATTATGTTATATTGGAGGTAAATCACATTCTTACCCATTGGGCTGACAAGGATGATCTGCTGAACCTGCGGCCCTTGGTTCTTTAGAAGAGCAGTTAGGAGCTTCACTCCAGGCCAACGCACGTGAAAATCAAATTCCTGTTGCAGATAGTGAGCAAACAATGAGTACAGAAATGTACTTTTGTGCATCTTCTGATCGAACAAAGAATGGCAATTTATATTTTGAAAGGATTTTCTCCTAATACAGGAGGACAAAAGCTCACTTAATCTTGATTTTCTGTACGAATACAAACCGTGAAAGCAGGGCCTCTTGTTCCTTCTGGATTTTTTTTTTAAGGAGGAGGTGTCAGTAAAGTTATCATAGGGATAGCTGGCTTGTAGTGGCCAAGCTTTTATAGAGATCATTAATAGGGAATATGAGCCGGGATTAAACAGTCACAAATGGTCTAAAGATAATGTGTTTCTATACGATTTATGTCCTCCCCTAAGGAGTTGGATAATTATGCTCAGTAGTAACCTGGCATTTAGTCCAAGTAAGAAATTAAACAAAACAGGAAAGAGATTCTCTACGTTTATAGAAATGATTTTTAATCTGAAAAGTTGGGGCAATACTATTGTGTTTCTTCACTACAGATTTAAAAAGAAAGTTAGATTCATTTAACAGATTTTTTAAAGCATATTATATTCCATCTCGTTTCTTCAAGGAGAATTTTTTTGGTCAGCTGGGTGTCTGAAACCTGCGCCTGGAATCCCATTGCCATGCTTAAAAGTATTCAAACTAAACTTCTGAGTTCCAATGTCCATGGAAATTTCCCTTTTTCTGGAATCCATCAACAGTGCCCCGAATTTTGTGGACCCCAGGAACTCGATTCCCAATACCACTACAGAGGGTCAACTCAAATCCAATATTGTATTATCAGGCACATCACCTTGGAGCCAACTCAGCCCCAAAGAAGTATGCCTCCTTATCCTTCTTAACCAGATTTATAATGGTTGAAAGTAGATAGTAATCTTTGCACAATGTATCAATTGAGAGTCAGATTAATTTGCTGGAAATAGAGGGGTTTCATTTGATTTTTGTTTATACAGAACTTACCTCCAAGAGGGATAGTAGTAGGGTTAGATTTTCATGATGCTTAATAAAAATCTCTGTGAACTGGCCAGCCAAATCTTCAGAACTTTGCTTTTGAGTATTTTCATCTGCAGAGAGAGATGAAAACAAAAGGGATTACAAATAATAATACTTGCATTTGATCTGGCACCTTTCATATCAGGAGGGCATCTCAAAGTGTAAATTTAAACAGATGTAATAAACCTGTGCCTTTTGAGGGCCAGCTTCATGTTCCACAGATAAAGTAGCAGCAAAAAGATTCTGTTTGCAAAATCATAATAAACAGGGGATGATTACAATGTAAAAAAGTAATGATGCAATGACAAAAGAGTACCCTATATTTAATATTTAGAACCATGCAAAAAAATTCTAAGTCAGGTCAAAAAAATGCAATGATGAGTCAGTGGGTGGAGTACCAAATGCACTACAGGATTCTAATCTTTGTTATTGCATTTGGGTGGGTATTTCTAACCTACATCCAACTTTATGCTTTTTACAGGTCAACATTTTCACAGCAGTATGAATGAAGACTGGAACCAGGATGTCCTCAAACCTCATAATCCATAATACAATCAATTAAGATGATATGAAATTGCTTTCCAATGGTTTGTGAAATAAACACTTAGAAACAATGGCAGACTGGCATTACATTAAAAATGCTACCATAGGTGCGAATTGAATCACTGCTACATTAAACAATTTGTCATAAGCCTCACTGTATTTTCATTCTGGGCATAAAAAACAAGTCCTCGCATTATATTGCAATATTTAGAGCGAGTCCCACATTCTTGAATTGCAAACACTTTACAATGAAAAGACATGCCTGTTTTTCTGGGCTTATTGGTGGTGGAAGGTGGGGGAGGGGTGAAGTGGCAGCACATAGAAGTGGCTTTTGCATTGCTGGACACCTTTGCTTTGCCCAGGAAAATAGTCGTATGTTACATTTTTAATTACTTGTAGAATGCTCTAAGGAGTTATCAGTCATCAGCCTCAGTGTACCTCCAGTTTCAATCCAAGCCAAGGATTAAACTCTCAAAGCAGCCTTATATAATCTACATTAAGCAAGTAACGCTGAACAGCTTCCAAAAGGATACAACTTATAACATATTAATGCTTTAATAGGAAGAATTCTTTCTAGTTTCTGAAAAATTGTGGAAGAGTTATATGAAACAAACGCACAAATGTTCTAACAATCGATCTTTTATAGTAGAAATGCTCCGCTGATTACAAAAAAGTAATGAGCCTGCTAAAACAAGAATCAATGTTACACATGACTATTATGAATTTGATGAAAACTTAAAACATGCATTTCATTTTTTTTAAGAGGCCATTTTCATTACGAAACTCATTTAAAACAGGGTCATGCAAAAATAAGGCAAATGTTACCTTCAGATCCATCTGCCAAATTATACATGAAAGAAAAGAAAAAACAGGTCAGCCATGGTTTGTCATAAATACAACATTCTGCATGCAGCAGACACATGCTGAAGGATTCGAACTCAAAATAGAAGACTGACTAAGCATTGTCACATGCTTTAGACAAACATAAATGAAACAGCTTAAAGCAATGGAAGTAAATTAAGTATTTTATTAGAATTTGTTTGCAATACATTCTCCATCTAAGGATCTGCTAATTCACAATAGCGGATAGTTTTATTTTTGATAAAAGTAATATGCAGATCATTTTAAAACAATGAGAAAAACCAATATGGCAGGATCAATAGCCATGCAATTGTTAAGATTGGTCCACGGCCAACCAGGACTTCAGACTACAGGCTATAGACTTGCACTCTTGAGAAAACACTTAAGAGCAGTCAAGCTGAGATTTGCGAGAGATCCCAAACAAAGCCAGCTCAGCAAGATCACCTCAATGAACAAATACAGATTGCAATATGTTTAAGATTCAATTCAAGTTTAATGTTAATTTTAGGACTTTGGTATTCTAAGCTCCTTTGGTGCCAAGTCCTCTAATTATTAGTTTGGGTTATTTTCTACCAGTATCTTGGCCAACTATTCTTCAGGTTAATCAGTCATTCACCATGGGTTGAATGTGGTTGTTGTAATTTTGCTGAAAGGAATGTTTGCTGGGTTTGCCTGCTGGAGTCTAACTGCATATCTTGCCATTGATATTGCTGTCTGGCAAGCTTTCCCGCTGCTTGTCCAGCTAGAACCACCCTACTTATTAGGGCCTTGGTTGCAGGGTTAACAGAGGCTGAGTGGGATGATTCCCTGCCCCCAGAGACTGCTCCGCCCTTCCAAGTTCTGCCGATGAGCCAGGCTGGCTGGGCTGTCATCAGCAGTGCCCTGGAATACTGCGGACCCGTCTGGTCAGGAACCGGACTAGAGACCGTCACAGAGGCCTGGCTCGATTCCGACATTCTGTTGCCAGGTATGTCACCTTGGAGCCAGTTCAACTCCAAGGAAACCCTACTTATTTGTCTATGGAGACTCCTGCTCAGTTGGCTGATCAGTTCTGCACATTTTCAGCTCACACACCAATACTGAAGAAAACTAAAGTTACAATTATAACCTTACTCAAGCATTATGAATACCTTTATTACTATATTATAAACCCTAAACTACTAATCCTACATATATTCTACATGTTGGCAGCAATTTGCTCTAATTTTTATCACTGTTTTGCAGCTTTTTGCTTCTCAACAATATCCTGCAGGGGGCAAAGCAACTTCAATTTTTGGCAGCATCAATATAACAATATAACATGCACTAATACAATTAGGCAAGATCACTTATTATCTTTTAAAAAGTTAAAAGATAATAAGTGATCTTGCCTAATTGTCATTTCTTTGTTCCTTCCCTTGCTTTCTATTCAGTATTTTTATTAAAATATATTTTGTTTCTACCCTATTCTAATGATAAATCTTCCAGCTCCAACAGTCAAACTTGGAGGATTTGTTTCCCTCCCCCCGCCCACCTAAAAACAAGTATTATTCATTGGCTGAAAACCATTTTCATAGATGTACAGCTTTTGCAACTAAACTGTAAAACAGCTGTTTTAAGCTCACTTCTGGGTTCACTAAGCTGAGCTACTTGTACTAAAAAGTACAAAACACACAAGGAAGTATCTGTACAGAATTCATTGACACGTTTAATTCTCATCTTTCAGAGCTGGAAACCGTAACCAACATTTATCTGAAAGTTGATAAGAGTTGAAATACTTTTCTGTACCTGGTTCTTCTTCTTCCACATCATTAGATATCACATTGTAAAGTGTGTCCAATGCATAACCAATAATTTCAGTGTCTGCACTGCAAAGCAAATGGAAAGGAAAATTGTATTCCTGATTCATGCTTCAAATAGATATGAAACTAAATTTAATAGCATCCTAAAGTTCTATTTAGATGATAAACCATTAATTACCACAAATAGTAAACTTCAATTAGTATCAATAAGATAGAGGGGTATAAATAACTTGTGATGGTGTATATTCAGAAAATTGTCTCATCTTACCTGTTTGAAATCCTAATGGAATTAGGTCAGTGGTATACAAATTATTATTTGTGTAAGTTCTCACCCGAGACACTACGCTACGTGAAGGGTGCTATAAAAATGCAAGTTGTTGGGAGTATTGTTGTTTCAAACTACAGTAAATCTTTACAACCTTCTGACCTTATTTGTGTTTTTATTGCATCAAAGTTGATTCAAGCAAAACTAAATGTAATAATAAATAATAATCGTTGCATTTGATATAGGGCTTTATCACATCTTCGATATACAAACAGTTGTAGTTTGAGTGACCAAATTATTATTAGTTGTTATTTTTTGGTGGGATTACTACCCCAGGAAAAGCGATCCGCCAATCGACTAACAACTGGGTTCTGACTTATTACTAGGTAAACAGAGGCGTGTGGAATAAGGAAACTTGCCTAATGTTTCACCCTATCTGGAATCAAACCCAGATGCTCTCGCCTGCGAGGCAAGTGCTCTAACCTCTAAGCTACAGGACTCCATTTTCCAAAACGTACTTTCCAAAGAACATACAATGGATGTTACCATGTCAGAATGTTTTATTGTCTTGGATTTATCATATGCAGCAGCTATAGCTGATGATTATAATTTCTCCAGTATAAACAGATTTGAAATGCACTTTTATATGACAGGGAAAATGTTTTCACTTTAAGTGTCTTAAAGAACTGGGCACTTACCGATCTGTCTGTAATACACCAATGAGGTGTTCCATAGCCTGACTGCCCACTTCAAGGCGATATTTCTACACAAAAAAAATTAAAAATATTAAAACATTTTCACAAAGACTTTTAAAAANTAATGCTAAGCTAAAGATTTACTGCTCCTTTGTGCAACTCACTAACTAGGACATCAACATTTGGAATGTGAGGTAAATGCAGCACTTACCCCATTCAACACTGGTAGGGGCCTCTTGGTGATAGTAATCTCACTCTAGACAATATAATTTTCAGCTTTGGACCCAGCAAATGCACAACCTTATAACTAAAATTATCCAAGAATCATCCCTGGATCCTTATGTATTGACAGTATTACAAAATTGATGTTCCTGAAATTTATGCATTACATTCAAAATATAAATGAATAGATATTAACCATGCCAGTTTGTTTCAAACAAACACACTTTAAGTGAGTTTAATTATGAGTACAGTGGAATCCTCTTTAGCTCCTGGTTAACCCTGGATGGCAGGTAAATCTGATATAATACCCAGCCTCAATTCATTGCTATTCTTACCCGTTTTAAATATGCCTGTTAATTCAACAAAAATCCGATTAATACAGGCAAAATGTCGCGTTGGTCACCTTTGCATCTCAAGTGGCTCCAATCAGCCACAAGCGACTCCGGGATGGAGATGGGAGGATTCACACTGTGATTGACAATGGACTCCAACCATTCATAATACAGTTACTGACTATCAATATCATTGAGGGGGTGGAGGGTCGGGGAAGAAACAAGGGAGGGAAATGGAGATGAGAGGAGTCAAATTGTGATTGATTGAGTGGTCACCAGCCATTCACAAGCGGCTCTGGGGACCAGTGACTGCATCCGGTGGAAGGGGAGTGGACCCATTAGTGGCAGCTCCAAGGTGATTGCACCTCTTGTAGCCACCGCTAATTGCCCCTTCCCATCCAATGGGAACAGCAATGGGAGGGAAGAGCTGCTCAGCAAAGAACGGGAAGAGAAGAGAAAGGTAAGAACTTTGGTTTCTGGGTGCTGGGTAAATCGGACAAAACTCCCTGCCCAGATCCGTCCAGCTAAGGCGGATTCCACTGCAGCTCAGTGATTAGAGCACTCGCTTTGCAAGCAAAAGACCTGAGTTCAATTCCAGGCAGAGTGAAACCTTGGGCAAGTTTCCTTACTCCACACAGAGCCTAATAATAATCCCTCCAAAATAAAAAAAAATAATAAATTGGTCATTTTCAATCTACGACTGTTTGTGGGACATTGCTGTGCGCAATTGGCTGCCGCGTTCGCCCACAAATATACAGTCAATTCACTTTACAGTGTGTTCGGTGAAGCGCTTTGGGACGTCCTCCCGACGTGAAAAATGCTATATCAAATGCAAGGATTATTATTATTATTATTTGTAAATACTTTTCTTGGAATGGGGTCCAATGTGTATCTTTAGGCTATAATGGCGTAAATGGCTGCTGCGTTTCGCCCACAAATATACAGTCAATTCACTTTACAGCATATTCTGTGAAGCGCTTTGAAACGTCTAGAAGACGTGAAAAGCGCTATATCAAATACAAGGATTATTATAAAGGGCTTGATTGTATTTTATCTGGTTCCATTTATGAAGAAATCTGTGAACATGCATATGATTTTGGAGTTCATGGTATATTCAGAGTAGTACATTAGGTTTTATTGTGCTTAAATGCACAAAAGGTTTAGAATGCTTGAATCAACGTAAACATTTTCATTTGTTCCACAGTTCCTAGGGTAACTAGCTAAAGGCCAATTTGTAGTCTGGTGTTTAATTTTAAAGATTGGAAATATATTACACACAATTAGAAATGTGTACACTGAAAAATCTATCCCCTCTTACTGTCTACCCCTTCCCCCCTCTCTCCCCTCACCCCCGAATAAAAAGCAAAGGGGCCTATTTTTTCCAAACATTGACACATATTGAACTATATAATTTGTGCATGCTATTTGGCAGTGAACTTGGTAAAAGCACCAAGTATTTAAAAGAAAACAGAATCCCACTGTAAGGTATTTTTCTATTTACATATTTTTACAATTGAATGGAGAAAGCATTAAATGCAACCCTTTTGTTGAACTATTAGAATCTGATAAAAGTACTAAAACAGACTAAAAATTGCAGAGCAAGTAGTTTGCAGCATTGGAGGGAAACAAGAAGTTGATCGGTTGAGTGATATGCAGCAGAAGAAGCACACACAAAAAAAGCAAAACGATTCTTCCCGTGACAGGCAGCATAAGTTTCTGTACTTCTCCCTAAGTTTGCGAATAGAACAAATAATCTCTCTCACATCTTATTATTTCAGTACTACTAGGCATTAATGGAGTAGTAATTGCAGTGAAACTCATCGGAAAAATATGTACAAAAACAATAACATAGAAATAGCAGAATGTTTTCCAAGTTAAACTACTTTCCTGTTAAATAATTCTGTGTTAGTTAAATTGAATCTGGTACAAAGATTTGTAAAAATGGGCTTCATATACAGTTATTAAAATTTAAATAACAAAATGCATTGGGAAACTAGTTTATTTATAAACTGTAGTAATTGGGAGAGACACACATATACAGCAGCAGTTTGGAGAGTACCTCTTTGCAACATGTTCTCTAAATGAAAATCCTACCCTGCACTAAAATTGAGCTCAAAGTTGATAATGCTCAACAACTGAAAAACCTTAGTTCAAATAATAAAAAGCACAATTATCTTCATTTGTTAAGAATAAGCACTCAACCACTTGAGTTACCATGCCATCAAGTCATTAGTCAACCATTAAATGTTATTGCACACAAAACAATGTCCTCCATGCTTAAGTTATTTTGAAATAAATGCCTCTAAGAGTGTACCTTAGATAGTGCTTTGAGTGCACGCACAGCATCTCTACGGTCATCGAGCAAAGTGGAAGAGGCAACTCGGTCACACAGCTTTTGAATCTGTTGTGGGAAATGAAAATTAAACGTTGAACATGGAATGTAGCCGAGCCTGCAGCTAAATTTTAAACTTACAAATGAAAATATTCAAAAGTGCTCATAAGTAAAGCTAGTTATGAACTTTTTTTTATTACTAAACTTTGGCTACATGTACAATCCACATAAAGTACACTGATAAAACATTGTAAAATGTTTACAAGAATAGGTTGAAAACTAAAAAGACGAACATAAGAATTCCTGTTCATTTGACTACATTTATCTCTACACGCACCACCAAAGAAATGAACCTGCTCCCAAGCCGGATCTCCTTGAAGCTGAGCTGGCTCCAAGGAGACATGTTTGGCAATGGAATATCAGAACTGAATCAACCCTCTATGCGATCTTGGCAGTCTGGTTCCTGAGCCAGGCAGGTCTGCAGTACTCTAGGGCACCGTTGATAGCAGATCAGCCGGAGGGACCTGGAAGGGTAGACCAGTCACTGGAGAGAGGGATTCTTCCCACTCAGCTCCTGTTAACCATGCAAGCCAAAGCCCTAACAGGTAGAGTGGTCTTAGATGAACAAGCAGTTGGAAAGTTTGTCAGACAATGCTTTCAATGTCACACTTTGTGATTTTAACTAGTTAAACTCCAGCAGTACTCTAATGCACCCCTCAGGGCTCTCCAAGCCTAGCTCTTGCCAGCCTGTACCTAATACTCTCCAGAATTAGGTAAGCAGGATGCATTCCTATATGGGAGTTTCCATGTATAGGTGGGATGCATGGAACTTTCAGTTTGGTTTGTATACTCTTAAGCGTGGTGATAGGTTTTCACATACATCAGACACCTGGTTGAACAAAAGCAAACCTACAAAATATGTTCCCCAGGAATACAGCAGGTAAGTGAAGCCCATGGTAGTTTTTAAGTTATAAGCAGGAGTGAACTTAATAGTCGAATAATATTTTCTCATTCCATAATTTAAGTTATTTTAGGATAGTTAAGCAATGTTGTCACCAGACATATTTAGCACAATAGGTACTGATAGATTATAGAGTATTCTCCCTGTGTGTGAGTGTGTGTCTCTCTCCCTCTGGGTGTATCCATCTGTGTGCGGTCATGGCCCCCGAGAGACAGGAGGCTGCGACCTCCTGGAGCCCCGCCATCAGGACACTGGCAAGCATGGTGAGCAATGCTGGTGTTCGGCAGATCTCCAGGCCTTCAAATATAATGTGAGGTGGAAAAGAACTATTTGGTCCTTCAGTGGTGTTTCTTCCCCCCAAGTGGGCCACCCACTTTTTGTTAAAGAAAGCATTAATATATTTTGGGTTTTTTGCAACATTTTATGATGTGTTTATGTCTTCATGTTTGGTTTTTATCAATAAAGTGAAAAAATGTAGGTTAGCAGTGAAGTATAAATCAGGGAGGTCATTCTACATTACTCAGCTGGAATATATTTAGTTTTGCTTTAGCAGAATAAAATGGATATAAGCCATTCGTGATTGCTTTAGTGCTACACAGAAACTGCAAGAACTAAATCCTACTAGCAATTTCACTGCACAAACTCTTCTGTAACACTTTAGCACATCTTGTTTTCAGCTTTCTCACCAAGAGGCAAAATATAACACAGCTATTTTCCAGTGCTTCCAAAATATAGCCACCCAAAAAGGATATGCTGTACTCATTATTCAATTTCTTGATTTTACTACTATTATTATCTCTACTTACAAAATTCATGAATGGTTTATTTGACTCCATTGATCTTTCCTTTCTCGTTTCACAAGAATATTAGTTGTAGGCCGGCAAGAGCCAAGGCTTGGGGAAATCGCAGAACATGCATTGTAGTACTGCTGGAGTTTAACCAGCACAGCTTCCCATTGAAAGCAGTGCCTCCACTGCTTGTCCAGCCTTCGTCTGTACCTCACTCCAAAAGCTGCTGAAACCCTCATCCATGCCTTCATCACCTCTCGACTAGTCAAACGCCCTCCTCCTCGCTGGTCTCCCCTGCTCCACTATTCACAAAATTCAAATCATTTAAAATTCCATCGCCTGCATACTCACCCGCACTAAACGCCATACCTCCGTTACCCCGGTCCTTATCAAACTCCGTTGGCTCCCTGTCACAGAGCGGGTCGATTTCAAGATTCTCACTCTTCTTTTTAAATCCCTTCATGCTCTGGCACCCCCCTTTTCTCTCCAACCTGCTCTCTTTCCTTACAGTACTACCAGCTGACTCCACTCGACTGGCTCCGACCTCCTCGTCTCTCGGACCCTCCACCCCACCATCGGCAGGCGTGCTTTCAGCCTCTAGGCCCTGAAGCTGTGGAGCTTTCTCCCTCAATCCCTTTGCCTTGCCCCCCCCTCTCTCCATTTTCAGGTCGCGCTTGAAGATCTTCCTCTTCAATCCCTCTGGCTCGGCATCAGGCTCTGCCACTGTTAAGCATTCCGAGACACCGTGTGGCGTAAAGAGCACTACATAAATAAAAGTTATTGTTGTTGGACCATTCTACCCGTTAAGGATTATCAGGAGCTGAGCAGGAAGTACTATGACTGGTCTACCCCTCCAAGTCTCGCCAACGACAGACTAGCTGATCAGACATAGCAGTGCCCTGCAGTACTGCAGACCTGCCTGGCTCAGGAACCTGAACTACCAAGACTGCCACAGAGAGTTGAATAAATTTGGACATGTCAAGCACATCACCTTGAAGCCAGCATAGCTCCAAGGATACCCCTCTTACCCTTCCCATCTTGGATGAAAGTCACAAATCTTTCACTAATATTTGGAAGACTGGTTGCTCTGGACTTCTGTTGCAAACAAAATCTTCACCGTACCAATTTCAACTTCAGCCTTCCCCAGATTCACCCATTTTAAAAGTAACTGACAATTTGCCTTACTGCTCTCCAATTAACTTTTCATACATGCTGCAAAAATGGCTCATCCACTATACTTCAGAGATCATCCAATTTATATAAACTTGTTTCTTCCTTGGGCAGTTTTAGAGGACTGGATTATTTCATTATCCAGTTATTGTAGAATTGTTAAAGGTCTTAAACAAGGTTAATGTTTATAACAGAATATAGGGAAATCTCCCCAGATTGGGTCTACTGGATAACCGATCTGTGATTCTGTGGAATAGAAACACATATTATACCTGGTCATTATGGAAAAGCATGTTAATTGCTAAAGTTTCCTTATCTTTCTATGATTAAATGATAATTCTTGCATATTATAATAGACAAGACTTCTCAAAATATTTAACAGGAATGTGTAATTTTGTAGGTGAACATGGCAGCCATCGCCAACAAACAAACTCTTCTCAGATCATATCTAGTTCTCAGACCCAATCATTGTTATGTAGAAATTACTGTAGTTTGATGCATTATTTTGTGCACTGGTGTCACTAAAACACTAAACTCCTGTATATTCCAGTAAGGGAGAGATGGTTTTGATTCTGGTTTACTCATAGTGCTAAAATGGGTTATGAAAGAGGGAATGGTTTTCCAGAAGGCATTTAGATTATGCGTCACAATTACTTTCAGATATGAACCAAGGTTTTCTTTTGACACAGCAGTCGTCTCTCTTCTTTGCTCTTTACTGAAAACCATTCCACATTTTTTTTAAGCCATACATCCAAATAGGCTGAGCTCTAATTCTGCAGAGGACAGAACCTAAATTTCAGTGAAGAGTATTTCTGCCCCTGAATCTTCTGACACTACAGGTCATTAAAGTGACAAACATAAAACATTGCTGCACATGTACAACTGCACACCCGGTGGTTGATGGGGACAGGGTTTTCTGAAAATCAGTTCCATCAGCTTAGCTTTCCCTTTCAAACTGTGACTGACTTGCTGTATACAAATGTAATCTTGTTGTTGTTTGTATTTCCAATGTTTCAGATTTCCAACATACACTGTTTTTAATTTTATCTCTACTCCTATAGACCTGTAGGAGCTTCAACTCAGGAGTCAGTACATAACTCTACGCAGAACAACGAGATAGAAATAGGGCAGTTGTGGGGATGCATCTCCAGTCTACAGTACACATTGCGGAGTATATTGCTGAGACTGCCATTAAATGAGTTGAGGTAGAGTCTAGGCCTCTAGGGCAATGGTGGCCAACCTGTGATGGGGATACGGAGTTTATGATCTAAATCCAATTTATAATCCAAGTGTACTCTATTGTTCTTTTTATTGCTCTATTTATGCAAGGTTGAAACACCCAACGTGCTGAGCCTGACTCAACCGGATAGCATTCTTGCTTCTAAGGCAGAAGGTTGAGGGTTCAAGCCCCATGTTGGGACTCTGAACTCACAATCTAGATCAGGATGGTCCAACCTTTTGGTAGTCGATGGCTGGATGCCCTATTTGAGAAACACCCACAACAACTTGGATTTATGTAGTGCCCCTCATGCAGGATAGCATCCCAGAGTGCTTGACGGAGGCAGAGCACAATGCTGAGCTGGGGAAAGTGATCATGGGCACAGTCGAATAGGAAGGTCTTCAGGCTTGACCTGAAGATGGGGAAGGAAGGAGCAAGGCAGCAAGATCACCCTCTCTGTCAATTTCTCTCTCCTCTCTCTCTCACATACACACACTCATGCACTCTCACACACACTCTCACCCCCCGCCCCACTTTCTCTCGATCAGCTCACTATCTGGCAGCGAGAACGGCTGCTCTCCCACCACACGTGTAGGATGGCTCACTATCTGCTAGTGCCAGGGGCCGGCGGGTGGGAGGACGCAGTTGATAAGGAGAACCATTTGTCTTCCCCTCAGCTCAGGAGGGACTTCCTGACACACTGCAGCATTCCCCATCTAGGAACCCCTCCGCCTCACCCCCTCCCTTGACTTCTCCTGGGTCAGTCCTCAAGATCTTCCTTTTAACCATATTCGGTCATCTTCCCTCCTCCATCATCCCCAGCCCACCCCTCTCTGATCTCAACCCTCAATCGGAGCAAACCCCTCTGTCCGGAGCCTTGGGATGTCCTCCTGACATGAAAGGAGCTATAAAAATGCAATCTGTTGTTGAT